CCCCCCCCCCCCGAACACACACCTCCGATGAAACTATTACGGCGCAGCGACAGAGATGTCGCAGACATCACCAACGTCTCAGGCCTACCTTCTAAGAATGGGTCTGAGAATGGCGAGAGTCGCGACGAGAAGAAGAAAGGGCCTCAAAACTCAAGCTGACATTGTAACAGTCTCGAGTCGAGCGAGGAACCGGTAACTCTGTCTCTGTAGAGTTTGCAGTCCTTTATCATTGGCACGCCGCCCTGTCTGCTGCTGACGCCCAGTGGATGGAAGACATCATCAGGAAGAACTGCCCGGAGCTTGGCTCCTTGGATGAGCTGAACGAGAAACATTTCATGAAGGTCATGTATACGGAAGGACACAGACTCAAGGACACCCCTCCGAAGGAGTGGACCTTTGGCGGCCTCCAGAGAGGGCCAGACGGCAGTTTCAACGATGCTGATCTCGCCGAGATTCTCAAAGACTGCGTTGACGAGCCAGCCCACGCTTTCGGCGCCCATGGCACTCCAGCAAGTCTGAAGATCGTGGATGTTATGGGACAGCTGCAGGCCAGGAACGTGTTCAATGTGTGCACCATGAACGAGTTCCGAAGATATTTGAACTTGAAGCCATATGACAGCTTCAAAGATTGGAACCCGGACAAGGAAGTGGCTCGCGCCGCAGAGCTGCTCTATGGCCACATCGACAACCTTGAGCTTTATCCTGGTCTCATGGCAGAGTGCACCAAGCCACCTATGCCTGGTAGCGGTGTCTGTCCTGGTCAAACCACTGGTCGAGGTATCTTGGACGATGCTGTAGCACTCGTCCGTGGGGACCGCTTCCTTTCTTACGACCTCAACAGCACTACACTGACCAACTGGGGCCTTTCCAAGGTCGGTATCGTGGCACCCGGTGCGTTGACCTCATTGCTATCTCACAATTGCAGCATGCTAATTTGTCTACGTAGGCGCCTACGGTGGAATGCTTCCCAAGCTGATCTTCAACGGTCTTCCTGAAAGCTATACCGGTACTTCCACCTATGCTCTGATGCCATTCTATACTCCAAAGGCTATCAAGAAGATCCTCGAAGACAACGGTGTCGTGAAGCAGTACGACCTCAAGCGCCCTCAGCGTGACAATTCCATCGTCTCTGTGCAAACACAAGCCGCTTGCAAGCAGATATTCGAGGATAGGGACACGTTCAGGGTCATGTACCAAAAGGCTGTCAAGGATTGCACCGATGGCCACGAATTCTTTCTGGGCTGGGACGAGCAAGGCAAACATGACGAACGATCCAATGTAAGTTCACAAGAAATGCTTTCAGAAGCACAGAACATCGATCTACGCGTAGATCAAAGAGAAGCGTACACTGACCTGTCTTTGAACAACAGACTGTGCACAAAATCTTCTTTGAGGACGGCTTCGAGAAGAATGTCATCAAGTACTTCAGCACCAACGTCGCTAAGCTGATCAAGCAAAACACTCTGAAATACTGCGGGACTCGACGAAAAATCGACATCGTCCGCGATGTCACAAATATCACGCCCATCATGTGGCTGGCTGAGCGCTTTGCCATCCCACTCAAGACCGAGGAACAACCTCGAGGCTTGCTTTCGCTGCCTCAGTTGTTCGACATCTACTTGGTTCTATTCATCTACCAGAGCTTCAATATTCTGCCCGCCCACGAATGGGAGTTGCGCGAGGGCGCGATGAAAGGTGCTCCAGTTCTGCGAGAGATCATGACTGCCCACCTTAAGACCCAGCAGGGTTTCAAGGAGCACATTGTCGACTGGCTTGCCAAGGGATCGGCCTACGAGGTTTGTTTTTGACTGTCACCAAGTTTCAGTGCATTTATACTAATCTGATATCTCGCAGGTTGGCGCAGACGCTGACCGCCTCTATAAGGCGTTCTTGAAGACCGGTCTTCCAATTGGCGACATTGTTGGAGACTGCATTGGCATTTCTGCACCCACTGCTGGCAATGTAGGTGATCACAACTCCCAACCTCTCTATGCACGGGCTAGGACCTGCGGTCACAAGTTTGATCATGGCCAACTGCCAGCCAGCCGGAATTCGCCTGAGTTCCTCGCTAACCTTGTATTCTCTACCTCTAGATCACCCAACAAGCCTCTCTCCTCATCGACTTGTTCCTTAAGCCGGAATACGAGCAATACAAGAAGCGTCTTGTCGAGCTCGCCCACAAGGACGACGAAGCATCATACAAGGAGTTCCAGGGCTTCGTTTTCGAAGGCATGAGACATGCCGGTGTGGTGCCTGGACTTCCTCGTGTTGCCAACAAGGATGTCACCATCAACGATGGCGCTCGCGGACCTGTTCACATCCGCGCTGAGCAGACAGTCTTGATCGGCACCTCCAAGGCCTCGATGGACCCCGAGGCTTTCCCCAACCCTGAGAAGCTGGATCCATTCAGACCATTGAGCTCGTACATTCTTCTTGGACATGTAAGTGCTTGCGATTGCATCAAAGCTCCGGCTTTATATACTAACGAAGCTGCGTTCCAGGGTCTGCACTTCTGCTTCGGCGCCCGACTTGTGGGACCTGCGCTTGTCGCAACCCTCAAGGAAGTCTTCAAGCTTAAGAACCTGCGACGTGCTCCTGGCCGCCAGGGACACTTGAACGAAGTCGTCCACGAGGTTGCCGGTGTCCCAATGAAGTCTTACCTTGACCAGAACTCCAAGGAAAGCCCTATCCCGACTACCATGACCCTCGAGTACGACGAGTAGAGTGGTTGAAAATGCAGATCGGTCGATACTTTTACGATACCCAATCCAAAAATCGCATGCGAAGTGAGAAAAGTAATTGAAGAGCTAGTCATTCAATGAATTAAGTACTGTCTCTAAGATGGGGTATCTTCCTTCCATTCATCGTTCGTCGTGCTTGTCATAACCATAGGTCGGTGTCTGGGCTGCCAATCTAAGTGATATTCTGAAACACTCAAGTCCCGTCTGGTTCGTCCTGTTGATTCCTTCGTTGAATCTCTACTCAATTTCGATCATTTCATACACCATATCCAGAAACCTTTTGCGGTATTCTGTGCTGTTGGTCGTCACGCTCATGTGTCCTTGGTTGTCAACCATGTTGTACGCACTAATGAGTACAGTCATTGCTTTGGCATGCACCTTGTGCTTACTCCAGAAAAAGTCCAACAATGTTGCACGATAAGTCCATTTGCCGTCTGCTGATCTGACGCCCACTCGCCAGCTGGGTGGCGCGGGCGGGATCAAGGGCGTTTTGCCTTTGGCAGGGAGGTCGCCCTCGTCTGTTTCATCAGAAGCGGGCATTCTGACCAGCATGAGGGAGTAGTCGACTGTGTTACAGTCGGCAAGCAATTTAGTATCCTTCTCTAGCTGAGCCTTAAGGTCCTCCGCCTGGTCCAGTGTCAAGACAATCTTGTCGTGGAACTCGTCTGCCAGCTTGTTCTTGGTGGCTTCACTTGTCAGGGCGCCGTCAGCGATGTCTCGTTCCGGGTAGAAGTAACTTTGCGGTTTGAGATCCCAATCTTCCCAGCTTTCCTCCTTGCCGTACAGCAGGTTTTCCATCACAATGTGATGGGTAGGCGCGAGGCCAAGCAAACTGCCCAGGCTTGTTTGGTAGCATTGGAGAAAATCAGAGATACGGGTGAGTAGACTGTTCGGATTTTGTTCCATGTACTCCACGTAGGGGGTCATAAGCTCCTCCTTGAAGAAAGAGTGTTCGAAGTGACGAGGGACAGACTTCACGAGGTATAGCTGGTCTTGAGTGGTGAAAAATGTCGACCCTGAGAAGCCCATGTCTCCCTAATCAGTGATGGTCTTGGTCAGCGAATATTATCGTCAATGGACGGGGGACACACGTACTGCACTGGTCAACGTCTGTTTGTCCTTGCTGTCGGCGCCGAAGCTGGCCCTGTACTCGGCCTCATCGATCTGCCATGTTTCTCGCAGCGCTCGGAACAGATGCGCGCCCACACATTCGAGATTCAGATGGTATAGCCAGAAGTAGGCCGGGAGTCGCGCGATAGCATTGGGCCGTTGATCGCTGCTGTGCACAACTGATTTCGAGACGGAGCGCGAGATGATCTTCTCGCGACGAGACATGGCGATGTTGATGGGCGGAATGTGGCGCGGTCGCAAGTGGGCTGTCACATGCGAGCGCGCGACGGACGAGCTCCGACCATGCGAGCTCTTCTGAACTTCTTTCCCGCACTGAGCGAGCTTTCACTCCTACGTCACTACGTCACCGCCGCCATGCCCAAGGAGAAATCAGCGAACCCGGTAGCAGCGCAGCGCAAGGCAGACAAGCGCAAGGAGATCGCCAAGTCGAAGAAAAGCCAGCTTGAGCAGCGCAATGAAAAGCTCGCCCGACGGAACCCTTCGCGAGTGCAAAAGCAGATCGATGAGCTCAAGGAGCTGGAGAGCAGAGGCCCACTGCGGCCGAAGGACAAGGAGACCCTCGTGCAACTCGAGCGCGATCTCCGCGCTATCACACGTGCGCGCGATGCTCTAGGTGATGCTGCACCTCAATTTGCGAGCGGGGAGCGGCGAGGCGGCGGAGAGCGCGGTGATGCGCGGCAGCAGCAACGCGAGCGTCGACAGGGTCTAGGAAAGCGACGCAGGGGCGCGGACGAGGCTCACAGTAGCGATGGCGACGAAACGGATCCCGAAGTGCGCGCCATCCCCATGCCACGCGATACTCCGCCACCCATTCCTCGACAGCCCTTCAAGGACCCGCAGCTCGGCCCCGATGGACAGCGCGTGCCTCATGCCTTGCCCAGCAAGCCCGCCGTATCACCGCCAGCTGCACCACAACTTGTGTACAGCAGTGCGCCGCAGCTACGAGATCTGAAGAAGGAGGCTACCAAGTTCGTCCCCGCAGCAGTGCGCCAGAAGCAGAAGCAGGCCAAGGGTCAAGGTCGCCTACTCGAGCCGGAAGAGATTGATGAGCTCGAGCGAGCGGGCTACTATGCTGCTCAGAAAGCTGCTGAAGAAGCTGGACGGGAGGCGGACGCTGAACAGACAACTGCAGCAGTGAACGCCCTAGCAGGCGACGATGTAGACCTGGAGCAGCAATTGAAGCAATTTGAGGAAGAGATGAAGGACATATACCCAGCAGCGGAAGAGCAGATCCCTCGCTCCAAACAGGTGCAACTCGAGGAGGTTGACGATGATGGGGATTGAGTGCGTGACAGAGTGCGAGTCGTGGCTTGCTTATACTGTTCTGGTCATCAGCCCTCCCTAGAACACCACTCCCTCAGCTTCCAGCATCCTCGCACAACCTGGCATGGAAGTATGACATCGTGCTCTTCGGCTACTTCACAGCCACGGAGCCAAGTTGAGTTCAATGGTCTTGCGATTGCAAGGAGTGTTCTGGTCTGCGCAACCGGCCGACTGATTACCGCGTTGGGGATGCATGCACATTCGTGCTCCCCTATACAAGGCCTAGCAGCTCATTGAACGCGATGCGTCCACGCATCTAGTGCGGTAAGAAGGTGAAGGTTCTCAATGGCCGCGCAAGGCCGATGTGCAACGCCGTGAAGTCGGAGTCCCGTTGACAAGAGACCAGGATCGGTCCTCTCATAGAGCTAGAGATGGAAGGACACTTGCAGGAACACTGGTGTTCCGAATCCTTCGTTTCCTTTGTGTCTCTCCTGTGCCAACGCGCTCCCACGTCATGCAATCCTCTCCTGGCCTCTTTCTCAAGCCTCATCACCTTCGAAGTGGGTGTTTCTGGGAGAGCTTCACGATAAGCACACGTGCAGCTGAGAGTTTTGGTGGTAGCCAATCATCGTTCTGCATAGCCAACTGACTATTAGCGTCGGCGGCAAGACGTCGTCTCTCAGTCGTCCTCCGCTGATGTGCTTCTCACTATTGAATATCCACAGCGTGCACCCGTTGCCGACCATGTCTTGAGCCAATACATCGCAACTATTCGCCCAAGCATGCTGTCCATACTGGCGGACTTGATGTGCCCGCGCAGCCTCGACTAGACTGCGTGGCGTCAATGGACGTCGAGCCGACCTAGATCCACTGGCCGCTCCAACAGTCACGCTTACGCTTCCTGGCCACTGCGGCATCCAATCTGCTTTCTACCACAAGCGCTCGTGATGTATCTCGTCCAGACTTGATCTGGCCAACGGCCCAGGAGTAGGGAACCGCCTTCCGTCACAGATTTGGCTTTGACTTTGTGCGCCATGCACAGGCAGTTCGGAGCATGCGGTGGACGCTCGCTACTGTGGCGGCTTCTCGACGCGTGATGGATTGCAGATGGCCTGCAGGTTGGTCCTTGCATCCATAGTCGTGTGCGTGCGTCTAGACACTACACTCGCGCACTTGCACCATTGCTTGAGTGCCTGACAATTCTTCCGCCACCTTGGTATGACTTTTGCTCCATCTCTGCCTAAGCCTAGCATGGTTATTTGTCGCATCTTGTTGCACGAACTGAGATCTGATCGCTGAACAATGGTGTCGCCGACACTTGCGCTCTGAACACCAAGGCATCTTTGCACCACAGGTCGCTGGATAATGGCCGCCCTGGCTGAATTGCTCGCAAGACGAGCCGGCCTGGTCATCGAACTTTCGCGCGATGCGGGCATACTTGACCGGTCCACCATCGAGAAAAGAGTCTCTATACCATGTTGCAACAGCAGCAGTCCAGCCGGCCTTGTCGAAGCTCATGCTCTCGATCCCTGGTAAGATCTATATCCATTAGGCATAGTCTTGAATCGCAGCTGAGCACTGTCCAGGGAGAAGTCTGGCAAGTATGCCTTGGGGTGGGTGTATTTCAGCATCATCCTCCTGGTTGTGACTGCTGCAGTACGCTGGTATCACTTCTGGCATGACAAGATTCGCGTTGCCTCGCACAAGGAGTCACTGGAAGAGTTCGCAAAGACGGCCTCTCCCGCAACCGACTATGCGCTGTCCGCGTTAAGCACCGACAGGTCGACACGAAAGTTCTTCCCGAGAGAAGAGAATCCGATGCCGATGGCATCGCAGCCGGACGCTGAGCACTCCATGTCATGGATTATCCGCAACATTCTGGCACTCTTCCGCTATGTCTTTTATCGTTCCATCCCGAACGTGCGTATACACAAGCGCATCAGACCAATCGTCTTCCCTCCGCTCGGAGTCTGTTTTCTCATTTTCGCCGCAACGGCATTCACTCTCCTATACTCGTTCTTGCCACGCCCGCTTTACTTCACATCGATACAATATGGATCACCGCCACTTGCAATACGATCAGGCATGCTCGCAGTGGCACTCATGCCATGGATTGTTGGACTGAGCATGAAAGCGAATTTTATCGCACTTTTGACTGGAATTGGGCATGAGAGACTGAACGTGCTACATCGATGGCTCGCATATGTCTTTCTTGTTTTGAGCATTGTTCACACAGTGCCTTTCTACGTCACTCCGGTATGGGACGGTGGTATGCAAGAGTTCCACCGATTGCTCAAAGCTCAACAATCTGGCGTCTACATTTATGGAACAGGTACGATATGACATGATCTCAATTTATGTGGCTACGCGGCCTTGCGGTTGCTGCTGCACGTGCCCATGCACAAAGCTCTGAGACATTGTGCTGACTGGTCGTCTAGGAATCGCCGCCCTGGTCCCGACTGTCTTTCTCTGTGTACATTCTCTTGGGCCGATTCGACGCAAATTCTACGAAATCTTCGTCGTGATTCATGTCCCGGTCTCGATCATCCTCTTGGGCATGCTTTTCTGGCATTGCCACAACTACCTTACATCATGGCACTATTTGTGGGCGACCGCAGCAATCTGGGTCGCCTCGTACCTTACTCGGCTTCTGTATCTCAATTGGACAAATCCCTGGCGAATGTCCTGGATCGTTGGAGAAGAGGCTGCAGTGACTGTGCTGGAGGCTGATGCTGTTAAGGTCACTGTACCGACTCAGGTCCGATGGAAGCCAGGCCAGTATGTGTACCTCCGCATGCCCGGTGTCTCATTCTTTGAAAACCATCCCTTCACGATTGCTTCCATGTGCAGCGACGACTACCCATCGGAGTACGGGGAGGAGTATCGAGACATGGTGCTCGTCTTCCGGCCATTCGGCGGTTTCACCAAAAAGGTTCTGGATAGCGCGCTCGACCACGGGCCGTGGTGGACGTATCGAGCGTTCATCGATGGGCCTTATGGTGGTATGCGTCGCAGTATGGACTCGTTCGATCACGTCGTTTTGATTGCCGGCGGAACCGGAATCACAGCGATAGTCTCACATCTGCTCGACCTCATTAGGCGCATGCGCGACGGCAAGACTGTGACTAAGGATATTCACCTAATCTGGGCCATGAAACGTCCAGAGACCATGGAGTGGTTCAAAGAAGAGCTTCGCATATGTCGTGAATTTGCGCCACCTGATTCGGTGAGCTGCCAATTCTACATCACTGCGGCAAAACGTCAAAAGAATACAGGAACTCTGGTGAGCGCCCAAACTCCGGGACGACCAGTGAGCATGGTGTTCCATGACAAGGTCAACGATGTCTTTCAGAGTATTGCCAGCAACAGATTCTCAATGGCTTCGAACAGGCATTCAGCATTGATTGAGGCCGAAGCTAATGGCAATCCGGAGCGGGAGAAAGAGCTCCGGGATGAGAACACGGATCGTCTGCAACCACTTCCGCAGGCACATCTCAAACCGATGCGAACTCCCTCACAAAGGCACCTGGCTCCTCCTTTACCGAATAGCTTGCCTCCGACGCAGGACACACCACACATGCCTCCGCATCCAACGCTTCACGAGAAGCGCAGATCCAAACAATTGTCCGTCGACATCACATCAGCCCAGAATGCTCAAGCAGTGCAAATGCAACAAGTGGCAGAGAACAAAGACCAGGGCTTCGAGTTTAGCTTTCCGTCAACGCCGACTGAGTTCCAGAAGAACTTGATGCGTTTCGCCTTTATGCCTCGCGTAGCTAACAAGTCGAGGAAGGGAGGCTGGAGTGTCGAATGGGGGCGTCCGGAAATACCTTACATGCTCAAAGAGCTGAGCGACGAATGGACGGGGAAGAAGGCGTGTGTCTTCGTCTGTGGCCCACCGAGCATGCGGACAGATGTCAGCACAGTGGTGGCAGGACTACAATCGAAGGTGATGGGGAATAAAGGTCTCCATGAGATCTACCTCCACGCCGAGAACTATGCGCTATAACGATGTGTACAGTACGACTTGAGATACCCAGGCTGCGGATTTTTGTATATATGTATTTCTACCTGCATATTGAAGCGATTTAACGACGATGTCCTTCACTTGATGTCTGCCACCTTGCTGGCATGGATTTCGGGTCCGATCAGCAGAAGACGGAACTGGCTCCGCTTGCTTGCGTCGTTGAAGCTGCCTTGAGATTGCATCAACTGAAAACAGTGCCACGACCGAGATGTAGTAACAACACCCCACCACGTTGCGCGCCCGCAATTGAATCTACCAATACCCACCATCATGTCGGGCTACCACGGTAAGTACTGCGCAACGCATGGTTCTGCCGCCCGCCAGAGCAATTCGTAGAACACCACATCTGACGGAATCCAGTCGAGCACGGTATCAAAGAAGAGCAACAGAAACCCGAACCTCGGCGCCGACCAGACCTGAGCACCTTCTTCAGCACACTCGATGTCGTCGATACCTCCGGTTCGAGGCAACCTCAAAATGCCCACGCCCTGCCACATCCCTCGGACATCAGCGCCGCCTACCGCACACTCGCCAATGCCTTCGAGATGATGCGTGGTACCGCAAGTGCTCAGGACCCGCACTCTGATCTCATGCAGTCGCTCATCGAGTCGCTCATGGACACTGCAGAGCATCCTCCGAGCAAAGTTGAAGGAGTCTCGGATGAGTTCATTGCTCAGTTGGAGCGAGTGGATAAGAAGGAGTTGCAGAAGAAACCTGACGGAACGTGTCCCATTTGTTCCAACCCGTTTCTTGAGGATGCGCACCCGCTGGTGGTGAGATTGCCTTGTCACCAGGATCATATCTTTGATTTGGAGTGCATTGAGCCGTGGTTGAAGCTCAATCCGACTTGTCCGCTCGATCGCAAGGATCTGGTTAAGAAGAAGGTGCAGCCGCCGCCGGTGGAGGATGAAGAGGAGTTTGATGATATGTATTCATGACGAGCTGGTGCACGAGAATCATTTCAAAGGATTGCACTTAGCTCCACTGGAAAGGTCGAAATGGAGGATGGACTGTGTCTATACCCGACTGCTCTGTACTTTGAGTTACCTTGAAGTGAAGTCAAGTACCCTTTATGACACAAGAGTGTCCAAGGAAGTGGCAGACATAGAAGTGGGAGACCTCGCGGTTGTCTCGCTTCAGCAGATGCAGTGCCATGTATATGCTGCGGAAGCCATAGATAGCAGGAGCGAAGAAACAATCAAGTTCCTCAGTACAGTGCTCAGTATTGTATTCGATTTGCCTTTACATCCCCCTGGTAGCCAAGATACTGAGAACAACCAGCTCATATGTCCATTGGGTATCTCATGTATATCCAAAGCGTTATCCGCCCAAATCCAACCATCCAATAATAGCCAAATTGCATTACATGACTGAACAAATCTTGATACCGCAGCACTTGATGCCATTGTCCTGCGCCGGCTCTTGATACTGCATTTGCTGTTGCGGCTGCCCTGGATAACCTTGTTGCGAGCCATATTGCATTTGTTGTTGTTGCTGGTAGCCATACTGAGGAGGCTTGCCCATCGGGTATGCCGTCTGATAGTGAGGCTGTCCATAGTTCTCATGCTGCGGCTGGTGATGTGCGTCGTAGTCGTATTGGTTCTGGCCTCCCCCGCCTGGTTTCAGTTCAATGTAGATTCGGCCGGCGTTGGGTTCGGTGTGGTAGTTCAGGCCGAGCTCGCGACAAACCTGCTCCACCCGGGGCTTGATTTTCTGTACATGGCCAGGGGAATGATTGCCTTTGCCTACGATTACGTGCAATTTATCTTGGCCCGTCTGTTGTGCGTAGCGAATGCGTTGTTCGAGAATTTCCTCTGCCTGTCTCCGCCGTCAGTCGCTCAGACACGGCATAAAATCTCCCAGCGGCCACGAACCTCCTCCACGAACTGTCCGTGAAGATCTATCGTGTCTCCCGGCACCTTGCCTACGGCATTGTTCTCACGAAAGATGAACTCGGAGGCCTGCTTGTTGTAGTCGTCGGCAGCGGCGGCATGTTGCTTGCTCTGGGTGCTCATTTCGTGTGCCCGCGCGCCATCGCCGCGCTCGTAGGCCTGCCGCGCCTCTGCGGCATAGTGCTGGTGTTGGCCTTGCTCTTTACGCGCGAGATCGCGCAGACGGTCGTACTCTTGCTCAGCGCCAGACGAGGGGCCGTGGTTGAAGGCTAATGGCACATGCAAGAAGCGCAATTAGCAAGGGTGCGGGACGTGCGATGACATGATGGTGAGAGCATACCGTGTCCACCCAGTCGCTGGTGTTGATAGCCGACAGACATGCTTACAAAATATTCTTAGAGGATGTACAGGTAAGCATGCACCTGCCCGCTCAGATAGACGGACTTTCCTAAAGTGAGGTGGCTGGCTTTGCTGGCTTGCTGAAGCCAATGCTCATCATGACCTTGACATCATCCTGCTACAGACAACCGCGAGCATGCAATTCCTGCCTGAAGAGCTGCTGGCCCTCATCTGCGAGCACTGCGACCATTCCTCGCAAAAGGCGCTGCGTCTGGTCGACAAGCGATGGAGCGCAGTGAGCACGCCCCTCGTCTTCGAACACTTCTACATGGGCGTGTTCGAGGACGGCCTGGACAAGCTCGACAATGTCTCCAGGTCTCACAGCATTGCCACGCATGTCAAGAGCTTTACCATATACGCCGACATCATCCCAATGATGGAGAAGCCGGAATGGCTCGCAGCAATCGACTTCCGGCCACGATTCAGCTCTTGGTTTGCAAGCAGGGCTCGTTACCAAGAGCAGTTCGACTTTTCCTCACCCTTTCGGAACACTGGAGCAGGTGGTATCGACTACATGGCGGCATATGATGCTCTTCCCAGACACAATCTTGGGGAGGATGAGCTGGATCGTGCCTGGCATGACTTCCTCGCGTATCGCAGAGAACAGCGCGAATGGAGACAAGACCAGCAAGGAATGCGATTGAAAGAAGCACTTACCTCACTACCGAATCTAGTGGAAGCCAATGTGAGCTGTACGACGCCATTCTCAGGAGGAAGAACAAATGAATGGCCGGTATTCAATCGCCTTCAGCGGACCATTCTTGTCGGCCCTGACGACTGGAGATACTCTACTGATCATTTCGATCCCGACTATGCCGTAGCCTGTGGGCATGCCGCACTTGCCTTGACCGAAGCTGTTGGCTACCGCCCTACCTTCTGCGGTCTTAAGCCCGTCACGAAGCTGCTGCTGCGTTCGTCACATCTAGGTGCATTCGAAGATTTGACTCGGTTCCAATCCGAGAAATCCAATCTCGTCGACATACTTGGCGAGCGGCGGCATACTACAGCACGCCTTCCTATGACCAGCGCAAGACACCAGCTGAGAGTGGATGCCTTCCGAAGTCTGGTCGTTCTGAAGTTGCACATCCCACATGCAACACTGTCGACTCGCTGCAGTGGGCTGGGCCTCCAAGCTGAGACAATTGACTTCCTCAGAGCGGCAACATCGTTGAAAGATCTGGATCTCAGGTATACAGACGATGAGCTGAGCCCTGATGACGAGTTACCTCAGCTTGAGGACTTGTTCACACAGGATTTGCTCTGGCCCAACATTGAACGTCTCTCGCTTGCAACGAACGTAGGCGCTGAAGTCTTGCTTGGGTTTCTCGCCCGACACTCTAGCACGCTTCGCCAGCTGGAGTTGAGAGATATGCTCATTACCGACGTGGAAGTGCTGCTGCGTGAGCTACCCACGACCGTGGCGCTCCGGCACGTATATGCAGAATGCTTGTGGGACTATTCTCCCGACGGAGAGTTCCTATCGGTGCTCTCACGAGGCACGTCCTATTCAGATCCCTACGAGAGGCAGATGGAGGCATACTTGCTCGGCGAATCTGTACAAATGCCTTCCCTCGAATGGGATGGCGCAAGAGGCTCTGAGGTCATTTTCAACGATGACGAAAACGTTGGTAGTATCTAGAGCTTTAGCGAATGCAGGTGATTCTTTGCTCAGATGGCTTGAAATCCGCCCATATCGGCAGTCGAGGGTGATGTTGCCGGTATCCTGGTGGCATCTGAAAAAGCCGAGACCTCTACTTGGCCCCGCAGCTGAAACTGAGCTGAAGCCGCAACAGGCTACAGCTCCAAAGCTGACCTGTAACAGGTCAAAAGTGTTAATCAAGCTTCACTAAGCAATGCCGCAGTTTATTCTCTTCAAAACTGTCCACTCAGCATCCTGGCAACCTACGATAGACTCGTGGCTCCATGCTAGGGCCTTGAGCTTCGAGGCTGTGCTCCGAGCTGTGCAACCTGTGGCCAGTATATGTAGGTCACAGGCGCTGAGCTTGGAGCCTGACAATTTTTTGGAAGTACAAGCAGAATTAGAAAATGTCTCAACCACCGCAAAATCCAGCATATGGACAGCAGCCTTACGGACAGCCTCGTAGGGTCGCTACCCTCTCCTTTGCAACACCTCGCTGACCATCATCAGCTCAAGCACCACAGTACGGCCAGCAGCAACAATTCCCTCCTCCGCCATCTGGCGCACCGCCTCCGAGCGCAGCACCACCACATGGCCAGCAATCGTACCATCCCTCGGCACCGTCTGGTCCACCGCCTTCGAGCGCCGCACCACAGGCGGCAGGGCAAGGAGATCATGGCTCGTTCCAAGGCGGCTCGTACAGCGTCACCCACCGCGACACCAATGCTGTACTGAACATCGACCTTCAGCAAGGTGGGACAGTACGAAGTCGCTCCGGAGCAATGATCCACATGGCAGGCACGGTTCAACTTTCTGGCAAGGTGAAATTCAGCATGAAGAAGCTCTTCACTGGAGGAGAGATGGCCGAAAGTTCTTATGCTGGCTATGGGCGTCTCGCTCTTGGTCCTACCTTGTTTGGCGATATCATCACCCTTCAAGTTGACCCGTCTCATCAATGGACGATCGGAAAGGATGCCTTTTTGGCCTGTACTCAACAGATTACAAAGGAGACTAAGGCGCAGGGCTTTGGCAAGGCTATGTTTTCTGGCGAGGATCTGTTTATCTATCGAATCGGCGGCCAAGGCTTGGTGTGGCTCACGAGCTTTGGCGCTGTGGATCGTCTCGATGTATGTGTTGTGATGAACATCGTTTATGCATTCTTACTGACAATTCTGTTTACGCTAGCTCGCCCAAGGAGAACAGCATATTGTTGATAACGGGCATCTCGTGGCCTGGAATTGCGACTACAAGATCGAGAAAGCTGGCGGCGGCTCGATGACGGGTCTGAAGACTGGTGAAGGCTTGGTGTGTCGCTTCACAGGCCCAGGCTCAGTCTACGTCCAGACTCGCAACGCTGAAGAGTTCGAGAACTACGTTCGGAGCCTTGCGGGAGCTCGTTGAGGTGGATGATGAGAGTGGCTCGAGTTTGTTGACAGAGGGCGGACTCGTCTCCCACGACTCTCTGTAGCGCAGTTTTACACGGAGACATGGCCACGAGCAGATTCCATCCCGTTTCTCCAGAAGAAGTCGTTATTCGTTTCGTGGTGATGACTTGTTGAGATATCCCAAAACTCGATCCAAATTTCCAACCTCGAAAGTACTTTCCTTACTGCACGTATGTATCGACGATGAGCTCACAACAATCTACATCAAAGAGATCGGACACTGAACCAGGGTATCTTTGCAGTCTTTGTAATCAAAGCCCGGAGCTTCAAGATCCTCTTTGGAGCTTTGACAGCAAGCGGGACGAATGATTGATCACGCCATCGTTTGGTACCACACAAGTGTGCATATGTACCTACAATGTAATGCCGAGTGTACATGCAACTATATAACAAGTGATCCGTAGGTATTTCTCACAAGTCCATACCCGCCTTTCGCTCAAATAAGAAGAGAAAAAATGGACAAAATCGCAACCCTCTGGAGTTTCCTCCCCGCATCTGGTCAGATCGCGATCCCGCCGACACAGACTACGTACCGGGGATCTGGCTCCACAGCAGCTACGACAACAACGACAACAAGACGTGCACAGCAGTCACAAGCGAAGTCGAGCAAAGGAACGCTGCCCACGATGAGTGAGAAGCACTGAAAGCTGTTGAGCGGTCATCTCAACTCGATGTATCTATCATCATATTCATGGCTTTGCCAAAGTTGGCAACATTGAGACGTCTGCACTCTGTAATCTGAGTGTCTCTTCTCGAATTGTCGCACCGCGGCGGCCGCTGGTCACAAAATATCATCGCGGACAACTCAAACAGAAATCCGAGTTATCAGAATAGGAGTTTGACAACAGGATAACTCGTCGCCAGCCTGCCGGGACATTCTCAGCATTACTGAGGCATGCTCAAACCAAGCGCCATGAAGGGTTCTGGGGAGAGGCGCGCTGGGCACGAAGGTAGCTTGTGGCACGAACGAAGCTCATGAGCGACAAGAACGTGAAACATGAAAGGAAATTGATAAAAGTGGAGCAGCAACATATTAATCACAACCGAGTGTTGCAATTCAGGTTCTGTGCTCAGTCCTATCCTGTTACTGCAGCATGATCATCGTCACTTCATAGCGCATATTCATCTGCTGCGTCTGCCCTGCCGTTGGTATCATGCAGCTCATAGCCATCCTCGGAGCACAATGCATCGTGTCGTTGCCGCATTATCATGAAATCGTCATTCTGGGAAAGGAGTTCGCTGGTTGAAAGAAGAAAGACAGGCTCCGGCAACTCTCGCACTGCGTCAATTTGTTGTTGACGAGTGAGACCAGGAGGGTCGTCGGAGCCGTGCTACCCGTGATAGGTGTCCGTAGTCGGGTTCGTGTCGAGAAGGAGAAGGACGGCGTGCCTAGTACCTCTGAGCAGAAGCGTAGGGATTTCCGCTCTGGTCTGGAGTCGGTGCAGCACCTCCCATGGTGTTCGGGAAATAGCCGTTCTGCTGCATCTGGTGGCCAATCGCCAGCTGTGGATTCTTCTCCAGAATGTTCATCATGCGCTCATGCCTCTCCATCTCCTCCTGCTTTTGTCGGGCAGCACGCTTCTTGCGACGAGCACCTTTGCGCTTCTCGATCTCTTGGATTTCACGTCTGTGCGGAAATATGTTAGCGGCGCAAAGAACTTGAGAAAACAGCAGACAATGGTGGCATACCTCTGTTCATTCATCTCCTTCCACTCCGAAAAGGCACCCTTGATCCCGAGGGCGGCAATACCGACCGCTGCGGCGTCTTGGATCCATGCTTTCGTTTGTTTCTTGCGAGCCTCCTCCGGACTCATTTCTCCTTCGGCGACAAGACGATGTCTCTTCTCATGTGCTTCCATACTCGAATACACTCCGTGTGCTGCATGAATAGTCGCGACAGTAGCGAGACCAGCCGTGATGAGCTCTTTACCGCGCATGTGCTTACGGGTCTTTTCCATGTCAGTGGTAGAACTACTATCACTGGAGTCGTTGCCCCCGTCATTCTTGGCATCGCCGTTCGACTTCGCCATGGCTCCGGCGGCGCCTCCTGCAGCGGCGGGGGCGAGCGCACCGCTTCTAGTACCGCGAGCGACTTCGCGACCGCCCTGATCGTCGCGATCGTCTGTCCGGCGAGTACTGCCGGTATCTGAACCTTGTGAGCGGCGCTGGTCACGGGCACGATGGCGGGAGGGCACATACGAGTCTGCGCTAGAGTCGCGAGAAGGCGAGCGTCTCTTACGGGATTTGGAGCGAACCTGGTCGTAGATGTATTTGCCCGCGCCAGCCACTGCGCCGGCTCCGAGAAGTTTCTTCCCAAGGCCAACGCCGTTGCCGTCCTCGCTCGGAGCACGGCCGCGTGATTGAGAGCGACCACGAAGGCGATCCACGATGCTGCGGCTTCGAGCTCGGATGCCTCGCGGAGCCTCTGGAGAAACGTCACGAGAGTCGGCGCCACGACCGCGAGATTTAGAGCGAGGCCCATTCGCGAGTCGATTAGCAGCCAGGCCGCCAATGACGGCTTCAGCAAGGTGGCGCTTGGACTTCTTGTCGGGGTCACGATCGATCAGACCGTCGATACCACCGGCGCCCAGTGCAGCGGTTGCAACACGCCTGCCTTTCTCGCCGGTCCATGGGCCAGCCTCTCTGCGGGAACGGAAGGCTTCAACGGCACCAGCAACGAGTGCTGCTTGTGCTGCTTGAGCCCATTTGCGTTCGGTGCGGGACTTGTCTCCTCCAGCACGAGATCTGCTGCGGCTGCGGCTCCGGCTCGAGGAATAGCCTCGACGGCTCCGAGCTCGCGAGCGAGAGCGGGTGGAGCGACCACTAGGCGAACGATCACGGTCCTTGTCTTTGTTGCCCATGATGTTGGCAGCCAAGCCACCGAGACCAACAGCACCGAGAGCATCTTCGAGGCCTGACTTGCGACGCTCAGGCTTGCGAGGTGGAGAGCGAGAGTAGTCGGAGTCGTAGCCACGATCGTCACGGTGCTTGCGACGTCGCTCTTCGTGACGTCCGGCGGCATAGCCAGCAGCAACGCCAGCAGCAACTGGAGCACCACGTTCAGTGAAGCGATCGTCGTCGTAGTCGTCCGAGTAGCGCCTGCCTCTGCCGCCTACGCTTCTAGCGCGCAGCGGCGGGCCATAGCCATCATCGTAACGGCTGGCTGGTGGAAAATCGCGCGGGATGTCCTCAATGCTGTCGTCGCGGCCGCGGTAGACCATTTCAGTGCCTCGAGGACCAGGGCCCTTGCCTCGCTCGATGTACGTCTCTTCGCGAACGTAGTCTGGCTCGTCTCTGTCACGTGGGCGGGTGCGGACCTGAGGGCGACATGTCAGCGAGTTCTCGAGGCGTATATCAATGGTGGGGCAGAGGCAGTGGCAGCTGTCACTTACATTGCGGTAGCGGCGCGGCTCATAGTAGTCGTCGTCGTAGGTGCTCATGGCGTCGGCGGTCGACGATGGCACCTCGTCGGCGGTGGGGTCGATGGGTAGGTGTGTGCAAGCAGGAGAGTGGAGTGGAAAGAAAAGGCGTCGAGCAATGGGTGAGGAAGGACGGGCGAGTGAGGAAGTGGTGTCGGTGGGGATGCAGGTCGGCGATTAGGTTGCGCAGGTGGAGTGATTTTTGGGCGGCAGTGCACTGCGTGTGCGGCGGCGGGTGATGATGATGGATGAGGTCGACGTTGAGGCAGCGAGGCAGTCACTCGGCGGCCAGGATGCTGTGTGGTGCCCAAAGGGTCGTCTGCTGGCTGCGGGCTTGCTTGCGATGGTGGGGCGCGGCCAAGTCTGTGAAGTGATGCTTGACTGCCGTTTCAGCTGCTGCTCGGCGCGCGCTCCTGCTGCTGTCGGCCAAGACGCGTGCGATACGTTTTGCTGATACTGTCGCTGCTTTATTGCTGTCGAGCAGGAGGTGGTGAGTGTGTCGTTGCAAAGGCGGTCGGCGAGTCAACGCTGAAGAAGCACAGCGAGGCGGGTCGCGCTGGCTACGTCATGCGCTCACATCGCTTGCTTGTTGCTGAGCGTGCAAAGGACATCCTGGTCCGGTCGTGCTCCGTCGGATGCACTCTGACGAGACGCCTGCAGCCACCCCTTCGTTCGTCCTCCACCTGCCTCGCTGTCCATCTTGCTGCTGCTGCTGCGGCGGCGTGATCGTGCGCAACCTCACGCTCATCAATCTCCGTCCAGCTCCGACGCGTGGTGGTGGAGGAGAGCATGGAGCACCTTGGCTTGCCCGCGGCTCTGCATGGCCGCCGAAAATGCTGCCCACCCACTCCATATCCGTATCCCGCGTATCACAGCCTGTGCTGGTCTAGGCCCCCTTTCTAATCCAATTTCTCGACGCTGCCACATTCTTTTCTGCCCAACGACCCGTCGCACCCGTCTCCGCTGCGCTTTGCTCGTATTGCGCATTTGTCCCGCCGAGGAGTGGGAGCGGAGGACGCGGCTGACTTGCTCTCGCCTGTGACTCCTTCACCCATCTCTCGTGGCCATTCAGCCTACTAGACAATCCTCGACCAACCCCAGCATTGATCGCTGCAGCCATCACGGCCGCGCACGTGTCGCTCTCAGACCACGATGGGCGCCACGGACGAAGGCTTTCCGCAATTCCGCAGGGATATTCCGTACAACGACGAATCCTCCCTGAACACCTTGCAAACATGCATTCCTCGGCCAACATCTGCAAACGATCAACAGCGCATATGGGTCGTCTACGTTCATGGCGGCGCCTGGCTCGCTCCAGATCAGTCATCCGCTGACTTTGATAAGGCGCAGCAACTCCTGCTCGACTCACCCATCGTGGAACACATTGCAGGATTCGCCTCGATCAATTATCGTCTCTCTGCTGCCCCATGGCATCCCAAATATCCTTCCAATCCGGCTGATCCGGCGCGCAACGCGAGGCACCCAGATCATATCAATGATGTTCTAGCTGCCATCCTCCACCTGCAGGAGACTTACCGTTTCGAAGACCGCTACCTGTTGGTCGGCCACTCATGTGGCGCCTGTCTTGCGCTCCAGGTCGCGATGAAACGATACTGGGGCCAGCAGTATGAGTCTACCACAGCCCTGGAGCTCAACGTGGTGCCGCCACTCGCAATCTTGGGCATCGAGGGTCTTTACGATCTTCCTGCACTCGTCGAGTGGCACTCGGATCGCCCTTTCTATCATGACTTCGTTGCCGCTGCCTTTGGACCAGACAAGGCAGCCTGGAAGACTGTAAGCCCAACGTCTGCTGATTTCAAGAACACCTGGGAAGACGGCAAGCTTGTGGTCATTGCGCACTCACGGGAAGACGAGCTCGTAGAATGGGAGCAGCCCGAGCTTATGATGAAGTCGCTACATGCTCAAGGATTCCAGGATTCTGGTTCTCGAAGGACTAAGTTACTGGATATGAAAGGGAAACACGATCAAGTTTGGCAGGATGGCGACGAAGTGGCTCGAGCAATTGAACTCACTGTGCGAGAATTCATCGGTATGCGTGTGATCTGAGGCTTCGCGCAATACTGTAACCCACATCTTTCTTGACCCATACGCTTTTCAGCAGCAGTGGTCATGAGCTCGCACGCACCTTGGAAACCCAAGCACGGCACTCGACCTCATCTACAGCAATCTTCCCATTATGGAACAATGCAGGCCGCAAGAGGTACCGTAGGAAAACCAGCAATTGGCAGAAAACAAGACCACACGGCAGACTCGGATGTAGATCAGCTATGAGCGCTCGACCAAAGCTTCGTCGCTGGTGCAAGATCTGCTCCTGTTCATCACGACATTTGGTCAGCTTAACACGCAGATAAGTTTCGCGGCAGGTTCAGGGACGCACAGGTCCGTCTCCGGCCTTCGTCGAGCCATTATATCAAGGTATCGCAATGTTATGATCTAGATAGACAGATGAAGTACCAGGGAGGACTCGGTCTCATGTCTATATAGCTCGTTGGAAGCAGAATATACTCACAATCTCAACGCCATAAATGGCATCTACGACTTCCACTCAACGCATTCATTCGATTCAAGAGTCTGGCACTTCAAATACTGTGAGACCGGCCGTTGCCTGACAAGATAGACTAGAATATCCCTCAACCCAGATTTGCTACGTACTACTAACAAATGGTTGTGAGAACTGTCATCAGCCGAACGCCGATTCTAGACATGTCCATGAACACGGTCGCGGCGGACGATCAGACCAAGGCGCAGCCCCTTTCACTGCTTCATCGCTTCAGATACGCCATCTCTCAAGGGTCCCAAGGACTAGTCGCTCGTCTTCCAGTAAGTAGCTCAGGAAGCCCATGTTCTTGCACGAGTAGCACATCTTCGTGTCTTATGCCGAATTTATCCACCAGATATATGCCTGGTTCGCTCGTAAATGTCATACCGGCCTTGATTATGGTCTGGTTGTTGCCTTTGTTAAGATAAGGACTTTCATGAGCCTTGATGCCTATCCCGTGCCCGACTCTGTGAGTAAATGCAGCTCCGTATCTTGCCTGCTCAATAACGCCTCGAGCAGCCAGATCAACCGAAGCACATGTGGAATTCTCGTGTAAAGCGTGGAGGGACGCGGTTTGGGCATCGAGAACGACGTTCCAGACATGTACCTTTTCTTTCACGTCTGACTCCAGTGAATCCCAGTCCTGCTGGCTCTTCGGTTTAGTAAAGAAGGGAGGGAAGAAACTCCTGCAAATGTCACTGCTGTATCCGTGGAGGTGGGCGCCGACATCAATCAGGATCATCGTCTCTCTGTCCAGCTTTTTGATGCCATCGGTGCCACCGTGCGGGTTGGCCGCGTTTTCATCGAATAGCACGATGTCGAAGAACGGTTTGAGCCCCGCTGATCGAAGAGTGTTGTCAAGGACTGTCGCCACTTCGGTCTCGCTCAGCCCTTTAGTCAGACATTTTCTTACTGCTCGAACGGCTTCCACGGTACCCGTGTTGACTGCGCGGAGGATGCGTATCTCAGCTGCTGACTTGATCTGCCTGACACGCTCCACGGCACCTCCTAGTCCCTTGACATCGAATCCATGCTGCATCAGCCCGCGAGAAATGAAGTCTCGCATTTCCTCATCAACCATGACCTTCGGCGTCGACTCACCATAAGATCCGAAGGCGTACGATGAGCGCAAGGTCGTGTACGGATTCCAATGTTCTTCATACGTGATCAGATCGATATCTCGTGAGAACGGCATCTTCAACAAACGTGCACGCTCGGCTTCGAATGCAGGAACTAAAAAGCTTGTGTTCGCGACAATATGGCCGAGCGCTGTCTGGTGTGGTCTCACTATCATGATGAAAGGACGCTCCTCAGGCTCCCATACTTCCCATTGTTGCTGGGTCACGTCTGTTGAAAGGACAATATGAGCTTCGTGAGATGTCGCTGTGCGGTTCATGGGGCTCTAGACCTTACTGGCATAATAGGAAAAAGTATATCCAGGCTCAACAGCAAAGGCGTCGATATCTTCATCATGCAACGCTTGGGCCAGGCTGTCTCTACGGCTCACGAACTCAGACAGGTCGAGAGACTCTGCTCCGTGCAAGAAATCCAAGCCGGTATCTCTACGCAGGGTGCTGATAGAGCACTGTTGGATTCTGCGGAGAGGTCCTGGGATCCTTTCAAAGGGCAGGGATGGATGCACCATGGCTTTCGAATTCGTAAAATGCTGCATCGAAAGCTCGAGTGAATATCGCGAATTCCAGGCCGCGAGCAGGCCTAGGAGCAGCAGGCAAGCCGCGCCACAGCATTGCCGCAACGTCGTCTGGCAGTGTCGCCTACTGGAAGCCCGTGAAACGACCCGGTGCTCTAAAGCGGATCCACGCTTCTCAGTTGATGAGCTCGACATGTCTCGATCCATGTAAACTTGACCGTGCTCATTATTGTTGACGTTGAGCGTCTGCAAGTGCTGTCAGCGAAGGCTGGTTTCACGTGCAGGCGTGCCGGGTGCGGCTGTAAGCGAACGCTAGCGCATCGGCACATCGAGCTCCGCCGCGTTCATCAGACAAAGGCAGCTGCGAACTTACATTCCACATTACCTCCGTACCTCGACAATCTATCGCAACACATCTCGAGGGTCTTTCCGCGCGCGCGACCACCAGGCGCACTTTCACGCACCGCATCAAATACAACCCACGCGCTGTGCCCGTGGCGAGGCACAATGAGCAACTTCCTTGACCAGCAGTTTCCCGACGAGGAGGAAGAAGACGACTTCAATCCAGGTCAACACGTGGCGTCAGACGACGAAGACGATGCAAAACCGCAGGTCGACGAGGATGAGGATGAGAGGCCTGCCAAACAGCGAGCAGCCGCTGGCGCCGACGATGATGAACTAAAGGAGGAGGCCGGCGACGAAGATGGCGCTGAAGACGCGAAAGAAGGCGAAGAAGATGAGGAGGAAGAAGAGGAAGACGAAGAAGAGGAAGAGGACGAGGATGATGAAGACGATGTCGGCCGGCCCACCAAGCGTCGAAAACAGAGACGAAATCAGTTCATTGATGTCGAAGCCGAAGTCGATGAGGACGATGAAGAGGAGCCCGAGGAAGAAGATGACCTCCCTGGCGAAGAAATGCACCCGGATGATCTCCAGGAGCTGCCTCCTGGTGCCGACAGGGATGATCGCATGCACAGAGAGCTCGATCGCAAGCGTGAACAGCAGGAAGCCATGGACGTCGAGGAGACCGCAGCGCGATTGAAAGAGAGATATGGACGACAGAATCGTGCCGCAGGCTCGGGATCTGGAATAGTGCCCCAGCGTCTGCTCATGCCAAATGCAGACGATCCACGAATTTGGTTCTTGAAGTGTCGCCCAGGGAAAGAGCGTGAAATCATCTTTGCGATGCAAAGTCGCATCGTGGAGCGCCAGCGATCTCGAGAGCCAGTGCAAATCTTTTCCGCTTTTGAGCGCTCCGGCACCGGTGCTATGATGGGCAAAATCTACGTCGAAGCGCGTCGAGTGGACGATGTCACTGCGGCCTTTGATGGCGTTACTCATGTCTTCATGGGCACCAAACCGCAGCTCATCCCAATTGAGGAAATGCCCGCTCTCCTGAGGGTCAAGAAAAGCAAGCAGCTGGAGCCCGGGATGTACGTGCGTCCTAGACGGGGTCTGTACGCCGGCGATCTTGCCATGGTGGATGAAGTTGAGCCCAACGGAACCGAAGTACAGCTGAAGCTCATTCCTCGCCTTGACTACGGCCAGACCGAGGATGCCAATGCTGCTGCAGCCGTCATGGAGCCTGATGGGCAGGGAGGCATGAAGCGGAAGCGTGTGGCACAGCCATTCAAGCAGAGACCCCCCGCGCGACTATTCAGCGAGAGCGAGGCCAAGAGGAAGCATGGCCGATACTTGTCACAAAAGGGAGGTCTGAGTGGAAACAGCTGGACCTATCAGGGAAAAGAGTATATCGATGGTTTCCTGGTCGAAAGTTTCAAGATTGGCCATCTGCAGACAGATGATGTCAATCCGACCCTCGAAGAAGTCACCAAATTCGCGGCAGCGACAGAAGATGGCACGGAGAATCTGGATTTGGCTGCTTTGGCTGCCACTCTCAAGGCTGGTGTGGGCGCAGACTACTTGCCTGGCGACAAGGTAGAGATCTTCCGTGGCGAGCAAAAAGGTGTGACCGGTCGGGCGACGGAAGTCTACAACGAAGTTATCAAGATTCAGGTGGACTCCGGCGCGCTTGCAGGCAAGATGATTGAAGCCCCAATCAAAGATTTGCGCAAGCTCTTTAAGGAGGGAGATCACGTCAAGGTCATTGGTGGCAGCAAATACCAGGACGAAGTGGGCATGGTTGTCCGTCTGCGCGATGATAGAATCACAATTCTTACGGACAGCACCCAGCAAGAGATCACAGTCTTCGCCAAAGATCTGAGAGAGGCCACCGACAGTGGCGGTGTTGTGGGCGCATCGAAATACGATCTGTTTGATCTAGTGCAATTGGATGCATCAACAGTTGGCTGCGTGGTGAAGGTGGACCGCGAGAGTTTGCGTGTGTTGGACCAGCTGGGCAGTGTGCGGTCATTGCTGCCCACTGCGATCTCCAACAAGATCGAGAAGCGCCGCGAGGGTGCTCCAGCCACTGATCGCAACGGAAATGAGATCAAGCCTGAAGACACCATCAAGGACTACGGCGGTGAGGCGCGTGAAGGCAAGGTTCTGCATATCCACCGCGGTTTCGTCTTTGCGCAATCGCGAGAGAGCAGAGAGAACGCCGGCGTTTTCGTGGCGCGTAGTAACACCGTGGTCACAGTGGCAGCGAAAGGTGGCCGCGTCGGTCCCGATTTGACAAAGATGAATCAAGCGCTCAAAGGTCCAAATGGAGGTGCAGCTCCTCCAATGCCACCTCCTGTGCAGCGGGGACGTGATCGACTCATCGGACGCACAGTCAAAATCAAGGTTGGTCCTATGAAAGCCATGATTGGTATCGTGAAGGAGTCGAGTGACGCTGGCGCCCTGGTCGAGCTGCATAGCAAGAACAAAAAGGTCACTATGCCCAAGGAGAAGCTCGCTGTCATTGATGCGACATCCGGCCAAGTTATATGCTCCGATGCGAGCACATTCGGCGGCTTTGGAGGACCTCGTGGGGCACCAGGCAGAGGACCACCGATCGGCGGTGCGACTCCAGGCCGGCCTGGCTATGGAGCACCTCCAATGGCAAGCGGTGGACGGACGCCAGCATACGCCGCGGGAGCTGGAGGTCGCACGCCAGCCTGGAAGGCGGATGGCGGCCGCACTCCTGCTTGGCAAGCCTCTGGCGGACAGACTGCTTACGGCGGAGGCGGTGGCATGACGGCTTACGGCGGGCAGACCAGTTACGGCGGAGCCACATCATACGGAGGTGGCTCGGTGTGGGGAGGCGGAGCAGTAAGTCCTACATGTTCGATCGAATAGCAATTTACTGACTGTGCCACAGCAATCAGCGTGGAATCCTAATGCAGGAGGGGGTCGGACGCCTGCTTATGTCGCCAATTCAGGCGGAAAGACACCCGCATATTCTGGCTCAGGTCTTGAGGCGCCAACGCCAGGGGCGTACTCCGCTCCAACCCCCGGGGCAGGCTATGGCGATCAGCCGACGCCAGGAGCCTACAGAGGAGCTGCATATAACACTCCCGCCAACTACTCAACACCAGGAGGGTTCCCCGAGACACCGGCGCCGTACAGTGCAGAAACTCCAGCGGCATCACACGATGATGGGCCACGGTAAGGCGAATGATTTGTTCATCATTAGGCCACTGCTAATTTGATTTCTACAGGTACGAGTAGTGGTATTGAGTCGACGTTTGGGATCATGGTCATGACTTTGCTCGTGACGAGAGAAGCGATAATAGATTGCGGTAGCATAGCGAGAGTCTGGCAGAGCCACAATCTTGTACTATTACAGGGGCGCCTGTGAGGTTGCCAAAATTCTACATTGGAATGACAGACACTAAATTCAGCGACTTGGCCATGCTTCATGTTCCAATGCTTCTTTAACTTTCGTGGTAGGGAACTACACCCAATGGCGGCATCAAAGCAAGAGCTGTCAATCGTGAAGAAGGTCGCTACTTAACACCGATATGTTATGAAACACGCAAAAGGACTGTCGAAACGTCCTCTCGGCGACATTAAGCTCGCATCTGGGAGGTCGATGTCCGGAACGTTGGCGAGTTCGTCGACGAGGCGCTACTTGAAATGGGCCAAGACTTCGATGTTAGCAGCGGGCCATGAAGCGCCAATATCAAGAGCAGTATTTGCGCTGCTGAGATCTGGCTCATAACTCTGCGCACGGTTTGTGAATCGTATAGAGCGATCCCGTAAGTCGTCCGGCATGGCGTTGGTGAATTCGTCGAGTATGTCGGTGGGCGAGGCAATTGTTAGAGCACCAGAAAGCAACTTCCTACCAAACGACATTGAGAGGCAGTGGTGGGTTTCCTCATCCGTCCAGGCCGGGGTGACCTGCCATCGAGTATCCTCCACTAGCAGATGCAACTGCAGCTGTTCTGTCTCTGCAGAGTCGATCAAGGCCTGGCTCCAAGCAGTCAAGTCTTCATGTTCACCAGGTCGGTTCACACACAGGCATCGGACACATTCTCGTTGTATATTGACTCCAGGCAGCTCCTCGACGTTGGTGTGCGCTCCAATGTCTGTATCATCGGCTTCCTCCATAACCTTGTCTACGATAAACAAGTAAGGTCGTTGGTCCGGCATAGCGTTCTTGAACCCTTCGAGTATGTCTGTTCTGCAGGCGGCAGCCAAGTCTTGTGAAATACGTTCCTGCTAAAATGTACCAGATGGAGCAGACATCCTTCTCATCCGTGCTCGCACCATGACTTGCCATGAAGTGTCCTCTTCGAGCAGATGATCCTGCAGCTATAGCGTCTGCACAGAAATACTGATTATTCAAACGCTGGAAGAAACAACCAAAGTCCGCTTCGTTGTGGGCCTGTGCTAAGAACTTCAGGACATCCATCTGTGCGGAAGCACCATGGCGACCGAGCAATTGATCTCCTGCCAGGCCGTATGGCATAGTTCGGTCTCCGCATGAGAACAAATCGCCTGGCTCCGCCGTAACGCGCTAAAGTCGGTCTTCCATCATGAGCGCAACACCTGTCGTCATATTAGTCGCACTTTTACCAAGCATGTAATCGAATTGAACGGGATCATCGACATCCTTGAGGTCACGAAAGACGAGGTGCCACACATACACTTGTGTAAGCATAACACTGTCGTACATATCGAACGTCAGCTCGTCAGGATGCTGGACCAGAACAGGTTGAGCTGCTGCTGGGAAGGCGAGAGCGAACTTGCTAGGAATTGTCTGTGTCTGGGTCTCCGCAGCTCCCGTCGGGACATCCTCAGCATCATTCAGGGGAGCTCTCATTGGGACGTCCCCAGCCTAGTTGAGGACAGCACAACGGAAACTGGGCAATACGCTTACTTTGCGATCTCTCTCACGAGCTCGAATCTGCGGCTGCCTCGCTTGTCGAGGCAGAGTGCCTTAGCTATGCTGCACAACGCGGAGCTACGAGGATCAAAAAGGCACTCGAGTTCTTCGGCCAGAGGAGTATGGAGCCTCAATCCTGGTTTCTGTTTGGCTTTCCGGCAGCAGCCCAGCGTCAGTTTGGGGAGCTGCTGGCGTCGGCTGCGAGGATGCTTTTCGTTGTAGGATCATGCGTATCTGCCCATTAGTCTGGTCGGCAGCTTGCGCTATAACGCGATAAAACAAGCTTGCATCTTCCAGGCCAGTGGATTGTATGAGTTGCTGATTTTGCTCTATAATCTTTTTTCGATAGATCATCGTAGAGTATTTGTCCCTGCAACAGCGTACGATCTGAGAAGCTGGTCAAACGTATCCTAGGGGAGTTTGGAACGCAGCAGGCGTACGCCAGCCTTGGCTCTACCCTTTTGCCTTAATCTCTCTAGGTTGATATTGCGCTCCCTACAAAACTTGATGATTGCATCGTGCGGCACCACGCGTCCATAGCGATCATGCTTATCGATTTCCTGCTAGTAAGCTATAACCTCCAGCGACCATTAGTTGCAGCACTTTACTACGTAGAGCACTGAAATAATCGGATTCCGAAAGACTTACATCTTGCGGCTTGGGACGCGCATCGTGTTTTGGGCGCCTCCTTTTCGGCTTACTCGGTGCTTGCTGAGGAGTACTTTCATCGTCAAGATCGTCACGAGCCGGCTCTTCCTCAACTCCTCGGCTCTTATGCTGTTCAGGCGAGTGCTCTGTATGTTGTCGTATCGGCCGTTCGTATTCGTGCTGCAGTGCAGGGCCAAGACTTGACGATGCTGCCCCAGGAAAGAGCGGAACTGAGGAGGCGTATGCAGAGGGCAGATTGTTCCCCTGCCAGTGGGTGTAGTTGTAATCGAGACTTGGCGATGCTGTGCAAGGGAGATGCGGAGTTGCAAATGTCAAGGCGCCGTTGGCAGAATGGGCAGGATGCTGGAAGGTGCTGGACGGGGATTGAGGGTGGAAAGCTGGCAACTCTTCCCATGGAGAGCGTGGAACTGCAGATGTTGCGGGCTCATTGTCGAACTGATCGTGTTGCAGAGTGCTGGGCGGGTGGTTGTAGTGTGGATAGCCGCTAGAATAACCGTCTGCCATTGCAGCGGCGGTCGAGTGCAACAGCCTGCAAAGCGAGTGTCGCTGTACTTCGGAGGTATGTGCGAACGTGAGAAGCGAATCTAGACGTCCAGAGAGAGATCAGAATGAGGTCCTTCCAAGATTGAGGTCAAGTACTGTGGCGAGGTAAGACCAATCCAAGAGCCCCGAGTTCCTTCCCAAACGTTGAGTTCAATATGAGGAAGCCACCACCGCGACTGCGCTTGAATCACTCCACCACCCTTCAACAGCAGAGGAATATTATCGTTGTACAAAACGCAAGCGCCGTGTTTCATCAAGAGTCTGCACACGGGCTGCAATGCTCCAAGTCTCCATCTCATGCATGGCAAACAGCCTGCTCGCTCGACATAGTAATGCAATCGCATCCAGGCTCGCAACTACTCACCCAATCCGATGCTCTGCGAAGCATGTCTGTAACAAGCATAGAAACCAGAGGTGGCGCGGGAGTCTGTCGTGCTTATTGCGCCTGTACTTCTCGAACGTGACGCCGAAATCGCCACCAGCATGCGGCAGAAATTACTCCTCTATAACCCAAGTGTGGTTCTCGTGATTGCCTTTCCTCTCGTCGAACAAAGCGAGCCCGAACATCGCATCTTCCAGCTTTTCGCGGTCAACGAAGCCGCGGGTCTTAACGTGCATATTGTTGGCGATTAAGAAGCAACGCTTGACGAAGTTTTGGATCTTCCCTGCCTAACCCTCTTAGATCCTTACTACAGCGCATCTTCTCTCCGTCTTGGATAAATATGGAAAGCTTTTGAGTGTTGTAGGTCGTCTTGCGCTTGCTGATGAAGTTGTACGCAGACTCCGTGACCGAATAAATAGAGAGATCGCGGGTGCAGAAGAGCGATATCTCCACAATAGACTCGCGCAGGATGTCCGGAACCTTGAGAAGAGCATAACTAGCACGAGAAATGTTTGGTGGCCGGAAACCGATGTTTGCAGGGACTCTGAGCAGTCTTTCTGGGAGATAGTAGTGGATCTCTATAGCATTTGTCTTGCGCCAGGCACGACTAAAGGACAGGATCTTGAAATGCTTCTTGTACGCATCTCCAGAGCCTGCCGCTTTACTGGTACCGTCGATCTTGATGCTGGGGTGGTCGCTAGTGTCCTTCAGAAACCAGAAAAGAATGCGGTTCGCAATCTCTGCGAGAAGACGCAATCTTTTATTCTCTGGAATGGCGACAGTATGGCGCTTGAAGTCTGGGTTCTTCAATTTCAGCTTGAATCCAGACCGCTCTGGAGTCTTCGTGTCGCCATCACGAGCCTGGATGCGAGGATTGCGCTTCGCGCGAGGAACAACAGGCATTGTGAGGGTAAGCGTGTGATATCTAGCCGGTATTCTCGTGTAACCAGCGACCAGCGTGGTAGGCGGAATCAGCGTGTCTTGAGGCATCAAGGCGGCGTTGTCGTATCCAAAGGTGTGTCTGTATCTCCAAACTATCGAAGATCGTCATCTTGTCAAGCGAGTTCGTCGACAGTCTCGTGAATCAAGCGGTATCAAGCGGTTCTCAGCGGTATCCTTGGTGGGTTTTGGCCATGGCGGAAGCCAGCGTTCTTCTTACGCGCAGTAAGTCGTTCGAAGGCGATTCAGGTGGCATTGTCGGCGGCGACCGGAGTTTCTTGCGGTCGCGGTTCATGGTGTGATGGTTTTGGACGCGTTTCTGGAGCAACTCACCAAAGAGGTCGATTTGGCGGCAGCGACAGCGACAGCGACAAAATGGGGTTTGCCATAATTGCTCTTGGTAGGGTGGACGCAAAGAACTGTTAAGAACTGGCCACTGCAGGTAGATTGGAAGGTAGTGACTCAATTCAGAACGACCTTGTACTCACATCGCGCGTTATGGGAATCCGCAGTCAGAACGAGGCACGTGAGCCCTTCTAGACTGCCTCGAAATCATGACTCGAACACTATCGTCACTTCGACTCGATTTTGAACATTGACATGTACTGCTCTGGAATCGTCAGATTTCTACGAGCGATCGGCCAGCGTAGCATTTGAGAAGCGGCATCGCAAGGCTAGCATCATGTCAAAAGATCAAAAGCTCAGGATTGTCTGTATCTCTGATACTCATGGGTATGCACCTGGTGAAGGATATGTGTTACCCAAAGGCGGTAGGTGATTCCGACATTGTTGTGATGATCCTGATGTTGACACTCTCAGATATCCTGATACATGCTGGCGATCTCACGAACCAAGGGAGGTAAGTTCATGCATTCGGCAGTTGCAGAAGTATCCAAGCCCAGGCAATTGATTGCAATTGCTGATCTGATCACAGCCTCAGCGAAATTCAAAAGGTAACCAAGTGGCTGAGCAACCTAGATTTCGCAGCTATAATTACCGTCGCTGGCAACCACGACTTATCGCTTGATCCGGAATACGCGCTGAGGTACGACACGGGCTGGAAAGTGGTACCGGAAGATGTCGAAGCTTGTAGAAGCCTATTGATGGACAATCCGAAACTCACGTATCTGCAGCATTCCGATGCTGTGATACAGTTGCCTGAGAAGGATGTGCAACTTCGTGTCTTTGGCTCACCGTTCTCACCGGATAGAGGAAGGCAGAATTGGGCTTTTCAATATGATCCGAGCGCGGCAGTGCCAATTTGGGACGATGTCAAAGCAGATACCGACATACTGATCACACACACGCCACCTGCAGGTGTCTGCGATGAGAGCGTGCACTGGGAGGCTGGGGGCTGTCTTGCATTGAGGGACAAGCTGAGCCAGATCAGGCCGTTGCTTCATGTTTGCGGGCACTGCCACGAAGGGCGAGGCGCCGCTACCCTCGACTGGGAGGAAGATAGTGTCCAGGTGTGGAAAGACGAGTCCGTCGGCAGCAAGAAGTTGTCTCTGGTGAAGTTCGTGGGGAAGAGGGTTGGTAGCGCTACGGCCGTGGTCAATGCGAGCATCATGGGGAAGTCGCATGGCCGCGGATCGAAGGTATTCAACAAGCCGGTTGTCATCGATTTATCCGTACCGCGCCGTAACTCCGATGGCGCAAATGCATAATTAATTATCTTGCGGCCGTTCGCTAGGCGACAATATGCAAAGTGGTGATTCTGCGCTGGAGTGAGCGATGTGCAAAGTGAATGCCGTCATCGCCCCAATCGCAACAGCACACCAACACACAACTGCTGCATGTCTGTAGGCAGTACAACACATAACATCCCGTGCTCCACTTGGGTTCGCACTCAGGTACAACGCGAACGTGTAGATCGCAACGGGCTAGGACCGCATTCGCCAGGAGTGCAGTGACAGCTGGCGTGAATGGTGGCACACACTGCACGCGTACCTGATGTGGTTGTGCGATCAACGCGGCGCCGCTCGATTGTACGCCTCGACTATCGCGTCTGGCGGTCGATGGTCGTGTGGCATCCTGAGGAAGCGACGTCACGAGCATGACCCGCCAACCGCGAACATCACATGCACAGGCTGAGACATCGCGGGAGCCGCACGAGTCGTGCTTGGCTGTTCGGCACGAAGATCTCCCTCAAGTCTGCGAGGTGCTGCTTTTGTGCTGACGAAGACTTGACTCCGCGTGAGGGCATCAGGCAGGCAGCGCATGTCTCCGGGTTATGCAAAATAGCAGCGGAATCACACTCGGAGGCAGGCATGTAAGCTGTTTGTGTAACGAGTGATCAGCCCATAGGCGCCGAGAGCAGAGCTGTGAAGCTGGGCTGAGACCTATCACGGCGGTGATGGACTTGCTCGTTTGCGCAGCTGCAGCTGCTTCCACTGCTGTGTCCCTGTCGGGTGCTGCTGAGAGTCGTTGCTTCGCAGAGCCACGCGGGCAGAAGCGGATCTCGTCCTACTGGTCCACGCCAGGCCAATAATCGCGATGGGCCATGCAAGCAGCAAAACTACTGCACTCTCACCGTCGACCAGTCCACTTGGTGAAGCGCCCGTTGCGTTGTTGGTCGCAGCGCTGCTACGTGGTGCCTGCGGTCGCCTGCGCAGGAGGCTCCATCGCCCGTCTTGCCACCGTGTGATTGCTTCTGCAGAGCGCGAGTCCTCGATCAAGTGCCAGCCCGCCCGCCCGCCACGCTCGTCCGTCGCTCACCGTGACTGCTCTGCTGCGCAACAACGACGACGACCACGGTTGCTCTTTGTTCTTCGGACGACGCGGCGCGTGGAACGCACGCACTACCGCTCGCTCAGCCTCCCAGCAGAGACGTGGTCCAGGAAGACCTGCTTCGAGGCCTGCGGTCGAGCCAAGCTGCACCTGTGCCCGCTGCTCACCGACTGCCTGCCTGCCTGCCAGAGAGAGACGTGCAACGACGGTGCAGCAGTAACACCACCACCCTCACCACCACGACCGCCAGTGCGACCCGGTCACTTCACTACGGCCGTGCTTGTCAATCAATCACTCTCCCTCGTCCTCCTTCGCCGACATTCTGTCCGACCGCACATCTACGTCTGCCAAGCCTGCGCTTTCGAGACTTCCCGACCCCCCGATCTCCTGGCTCTGCCTGCCCAAACTGCGCGCCCAGGCAAAGATCTGCCCACGAGAACTACGACCTGCATACCAACTGCTTCTGAATCAGCGCACGCCGTGAGCTGCGCCGTGGCTCAGACACCCGCGTAGATCCGTGCTCGCCTCCCTGCGTCGCTTTTGCCTCCGAGACCGTGGCTTCGCAACGTGCCGGAGTCGAGCCACTTCCACCCCAGCGACTGCCGCTGCATTTTGTACTTCAACGCCCGGTCTGCAAGACCGGCCCTCGACACACTCGACCACTGCGCGACCATCATGGGATCGCCATTACCACCCGATCCATACGAGGCCCTGGGCGTCAGTAAAGATGCCACCTCCGCTGCGATCAAGACGGCGCATCGCAAATTGGTCCTCAAATGCCATCCGGTGAGTCCGCGAGAGCCTGTCAGGCCATCGTCAACGTCTGTGTACTGACCCATATCCAAGGACAAAGTCACCGATCCCGCTGAGAAGCAGGCGGCTTCAGATAAATTCCACAAGATCCAAAGTGCCTACGAGATTCTGATCGATGAGAGCCGCCGGGAACGATACGATGCCCAGGCAAAACTGGCCGAACTGAGGAGGGAGGCTATGGCTCGCCAGCCTGAGGGGAGGTCTCGAGGCTCGGAAGCACGAACGACATCTTTTAAGCCCGAGCCGCCGAGGAGCGCGTACGCTTCGCGTGGGGAACGGGTCGTGCCCCAATTCGAAGAGCGAAGACCAGCATACGCGTCGGATTACTTCGATTCCCAGCCACGAGCTACCTCCCGCAAAGAGCCAGAATACGCGGAGCGAACCTCGTCGCGGCGCACCGAGACCAAGGAGAAACCACGCCTCTTCACGCGGTCTACCAAAGATAATGACAAGGAACGTCGCAGAGAGAAGAATCGTCAAAATGAGCGAGATGTACGGAGGGAACGTGAGCGAAAGCGTGAACCGTACGTGGAAGATGAGTCGGAAAGCGAAGCGGACGAGTATGACTGGAGGTCACGTCGTATGCGTGAGGATGAGGAAGCTCGTCGTGCCAGAGACGCATATCACAATCAAGTTCCACGAACGCACCGCGAACCGGAAGAGTCCTACTACGACGAGCGTGCCCGCAAGATGGCTGACCACACTGCCGACGCTCGTGACTACATCATGTCTTCTCGAGGCGGTGTGCGTCCCAGGACAGAGGAGCGCCGACCCTCACCTGTACGCATGGCCTCCTCTCGAGACAGAGTGCAGTACATCAAGCGCGACGATGGCCGACCAGCTTATATGATGCGACGTGCTTCAGACAAGCCCCCGAAGGAGACCAAGGAGGAGAAGAAAAAGGAGAAGGAGTCGAGCCGAAAAACAACGTCTCGCACACCAGAACGCCGGTCAAGCGCGGAGAAGGTCGACGAGCGCAGGCCCCCTCCACTGAACACTTCCAAGTCATCCCCGGCTGACATTCATATCCCGAGCGAGAAACAGCGTGCATATTCCCTCCAGCCGGATTCCGCAGCGATGCCGCCCCCACCACCACCGGCCAAGCGCTCCGAAACCATGCCCTACAAGGCTTCGTCCAGGCGTGCGGAGAACGTGCAGCCCAAGACTGAATCGACCCCAATGACCTCTCCTGACAACCAGGCTCCACCGCAATCCAAGTTCCCGTACGCCAGGCAGCAGTACGCTGACGATATTGACTACAACATGTCAGAAGGATATCGTGCTCCAAACCAGCCTGATCGTGCTCGACCTGGAAATGCAAAACGGGTGACACGGAGCCCTTCGCCTATGAACGAGGCACCACGGGATTCCGCGCGAGAGACTACGTCACGATCTCGAGAATCAACATATGATTCGATTCCTCGTGTACGCGAGCCCACTCGAGACTCGCCCGTACGAGAACCCGTCCAGAGGTCTCGCGAGGCTCGCGAACCTGCGCGAGAAGATTATTTCAGAGATGCGCGCGATCCTCGTCTGTCTGCTCATCGTACAGCTTCTGCGAGATATCCCGATCGGTCCCAAGCTGCACCAGCCCGCACCACGAGTTATGTCTATACACCGGGCGGCGTGGAGCCACTACCGACACGCCCACCTCTCTCGCGAGAAAATTCACCTCGTGACACCGGTCTGTATTATGGCGAGATCCCAACCACTCGCCCATCTCATCAACGCTCCGCGACGGAAGATGTCAGCAGATTTCCGAGGCCGATCCGACCAGAAAATATCAAAATTCAAAGCGGCTACGGCTACTCACCTCGACCCAGCACCGATCGACCTCAGGTCAGCCGCAACAACAGTGGTGGTGTCTATCATCAACAACAACAACCGGTTCGAGCCTGATTGGGGTTCGGCGGATATCAAATTTCTAAATTCTCGTCGGCGTTGCATGGAACACAGAACATAGAAGGCATCGAGGCATTTTTGACGAATCACGATGACGAAAATGTGCATATTACAACCCAGGTCGCGAGGTCTCACGAAGAACCTGTCTGCGTTGGGCAATTCAGTTAGGTAGTCTATGTCGGGCTAAGGTTAGGATAGAAATGAGCTGCGAAGAGATAGCTCATGAATTATTACGCTCTGTAATCAGAAGAATGTATTTTCTTCTGCTCCTACGATCCGGCGAGTAACGACGAGTGTACAGGTGAGCTGTGGTCCAACAGGTGGGTCCCAGACAACTTCCGAAGCATGCAGGTACGTCACGGGTTGGTAGATCCAAACCCTCGGGCATTGCCTTCACATTGACAGAGTACTTCTTCCGACAGCGAACTAACACACACCTTTCATGATACGAAATCTATTCCACTCATCGCAACCTCAAACTCTGTCGTCTTCCGTGACGAACCGTGCTAGTTTACTGATCCGACATCACCTCAAGCCTGCATTGGGAGAATCCATTGGACCAAAGTCCTCACAGCTTCGCCCATCAACCGCATACACCACTCGTACATATCTCAAAATGGCGACCCAACAAGAACCAGCTAGCAAGAAACAACGCACTCAACCCACATACGAACTCCTCTACCATCCGCAAATCCCAGGCCGCGGCGAATTCATCCGTCTCGCCTTTGAAGCCAAAGGAGTTTCCTACACAGATATCGCAAACGAGGATTCCGAGAACGGATATTCCAAAGTCCAAGATATTTGTATCAGCGATAATTTGGGTAAAGAGGGTAACCCGCCTGTTTTCAGTCCTCCGGCTTTGAGGATTTCTGGTGCTGGCGAGGATGGGAATGCGTTGATAATTAGCCAGACTCCGAATTGTTTGATCTATCTTGGTGACAAGCTTGGGCTGGTTGGGAATGGTGGTGAGCAGGAGAAGTTTTGGGTGCAGCAGTTGGCGCTTACGGCGTTGGATTTGAATAATGAGGTGCATGATACGCATCATCCTGTTGGTGGTGAGTTATCTTTGGTCACGTAGTTGGAGTGTGTAGCTGACTTTTTGCCAGTCAGTTTGTATTACGAAGACCAGAAAGAAGAGAGTTTGAGGAAAGCGAAAGATGTGCGGGAGAACAGGTTGCCGAAGTTCTTCTCGTACTTTACTAGGACGCTAAAGTGGAATGCAGAGAAGGCGAAGCATAGGTACCTGGTGGGTGAGAACTTGACATATGCTGATACGACTGTGTGGCAAGTTCTCGATGGGCTATATTTTGCATTCCCGAAAGAGATGGAGGCGAGGCAGAAGGAGTTCCCGGAGTTGCTCGACACTTTCTACAACAGTGTGAAGGAGGAGCTGAAGACGTATTTGGAGAGCAACAGGCGTCTGAGCTACTCGCAGGGAGTGTTCCGCTACTATCCTGAGTTGGATAGACAATCGTGATCTCAAGCTGAACGGAAGTACGGCAAGAGAGGATTGGCTAAGCAAGCGGGATAGGTGCAAGGAACTGCTTGCAGACAGACCTCGCTGGGTACTGTGCCAGCTTCAGAATAGGGTCCTTTCCTGTTGCTAAGAAACACTGAGTCGTACCAGAAACGTACAGTGGCGTACGTGACCCCTCATCAGGTATAGGACTTTGGACCAACAGTCCACATTACCAGGTCTGATCGCACGTCCATCTCGTCCAACTCTCCCGGCACTTTCCTAAAGCCCTTTTCTATGCGTCGACTTCCTCCAAAGTTCCGCTTGTGACTATGCCCGTGACTGTGTGCCATAACTCTCACATTCTCACCTCCATGCTTGTTCGGGGCAGCGTCTCGTGATAGTGGGTCATGGTGAGGTGGATAATGATGGTGGAGAGCGTTCGGAGTGCTGGATCCGCTACCAGACTGACTCTGGTCGTTACTCGTGCTGGGACGACCGCCCTTTCCCCAACCATCACCACCAGCGAAGATGTCCTCAATGCACTCGTCAGCCCTCAGCTCGCCTGGTTGAGAGGTCCAAAACGCAGCCAACGTGCGGCGGTACATGTCCTGCATTTCGCCCATTTCCTTGTTGTTGATGTTGAAGCTGGGAGGAATGGATTCCTGCGTGCTATCTGGGTTTTCCGTGCTCGCTTGGGAACTCATGATGTGAGGTGTGCTCGAAGGTTCGGAGGAGGATATGATGCCGGCGATGCCTCCAAAGACGGGCGCTGTCCGCAAAGGGGGAGCATGGTAGTCGCGCGTGCCCTCGACATGGCGCATGTAGATGCCAATCTTCAATGTGCTATTGATCTTGGAGTCTTGCATCAGGTAGCGGCGCGTGATGCCATGGTCCTGCTCGGCAGTGGCATCGCTGACACGCGTGGGGCTCGCGGGCAGATCGAGGGCGTTGTCGACGTACTCGGCGAGGTTCAGGTGGACGTCTCCCAGCTTGATGCGCTCGCCGCGGCCGCCCGAGGAGTATTCTTGCTGCACCTCGAAGTGGATGGGACACTCCTGCAGCATACCATCTTTGCCTACCGTCAACCGCACGGCGGTCTGCTTTTCGTAGTTGTACTGCACGCGGTGCTCACGGATGGCGCATTTGCTGGTGCGGCCGCGGTGTTCGGCGGCGTTGGAAGCGGGCAGGTGCCATTTGATGAAAGACGAGCCCGTCACCAGGGGCACGTTGTTGAGGTCGACGATGCGTAGGGTGAGCTCGAAACGCACGCGACGCGACTTGGACACGAAGGACGCCGCCATGCGCCGCGCTGCTCATCGGCGCCGAGCCATATCGCTGGTATCGGACATGCAAGTACAGAAGCGAAGAGCAAGAGTGATGGCCCCGCACGTGACGCACACCTTTGCGCATCGCGAGCACCGTGGCGCAGACATCTCATTCTTGCGCACTGCTCAACGTGATACTCGGCGCACATCTCACTCGATCGAGCGACAGTGGGGGCGGCGGCCAGCCACCAAGGTGTCGTGCAACCAGAAGATGCAGGCACGTTGTCCCACTATTGGCTTCAGCATCGCGCGGCAGCGCAGCATTGATGGAGTACGAGCAGCTGATATACTATTCTAGCGACAGCTTTAGCTCCTCTATGATCAAGTGACTCTGTGCAGCTCGTGCCTAGACACCGCATCCGTCAGCTCCGCCGCCCATACAGTGCCGTCTGCTCAGCAATAAGCCAGCCGTGTAGGCGTAGACGCGGTGTCCCAGCATGGAGACGAGCAACAAAACTTGTTTACGCGCACCCGAAACACGCATCATTCACCGCTCCACCCGACAGGCTTGCAGATGTGCAGAGCCGCCGTCGACAGTAGAGTGGTATGCACGACGAAGCTTCCGAGCGGGATGGCGGAGCGTGTCGTACGCATTATGCTTTTCTGTAAATTTGAGGCGCGAGCTCCTCACTTGTGTGGGGAAAGCTCGCCATGGAGCCCGGACTGTCTCACAGCGCTGGGAGGAAAGCGAGTTCGTAGGCGTTGCGTGGACGAGCAGCAGAGCGTGCAATATGGCACAAGCGATGCCGTCGACATGTCCATAGCCGCTCCAGCCTGTGCACCGCGCCTAGCCGCCGCCGCCGCCGCCAGCAGCAGTCTCATAACCAAGATAGATGCATGGAGCAGTTCGATCCTGTCCATGTCTGCTCGATCCGCGTGAACGTCATTGACGCACCAACCTGCCATCGCGCGACCTGATTCGCCGTGGAAGGAGCTGCGGGGCCAGTCCTCAGCACAGGCAACCAAGCAAGCTTGTACATACACTCTTCTACTCCTCTTTCTCGCACACCACTCTCCTCCTCTTCCCCCATCACACATTGTGTTGCATCTCGACATTACTCACCGGGAAGCACTGCCAACATGATTGACCCCGTTCAAGCATTCGCCATGGCCACGGGCACCATCCCGTTGGGCAAGCCGAGCGTGTCGCCGGGTATGTGCTCATCGTCAGCTTCGAGCTTGCCTATACCAGTATTGACAACGCGACAGTTCCATCCGTGGTCCCAAGCCTTCCAGAATACCAGACCGCCAGCGAGACTGGCGAGCGAACCCTCTGGTAAGCACTCGTCGGCCGTCGATCGCTGCTCAACTGCTCTCGTACCGAGCACGGCTGGAAACGCGTGTGAACGAAGAGCTCGGAACACGGACTGATGAATCGGAATAGGGTCGTGTTCGTGGTCATGCTGGTTGCATCGATCGTCTTCTCTGGCATGGCATGGAATGTCCCAATGGTGAGCTATTCCGATGCCTCGTTGGCCTACGAGCCCGTCAGTACTGACAAGCACCCAGGGCAAGCGCCTTTACCACGTGGTGACGACTGTCATCACAATCACTGCCTCTCTGTCCTACTTCGCCATGGCCACTGGACACGGCGTCAGCTACCACCACGTTGTTGTCCGCGAGTCTCACAAGCACGTCCCAGACACCAAGACCGACCTCTACCGCCAGGTCTACTTTGCTCGCTACATTGACTGGGCCATTACCACCCCACTGTTGCTCCTTGATCTTGCTCTCCTCGCTGGCATGAACGGTGGCTCCATTACCATCACCATCCTCGCCGATCTCGTCATGATCTTGACCGGTCTCTTCGCAGCCTACGGAGCTGAGGGCACTCCACAGAAGTGGGGCTGGTACGCCATTGCCTGCATTGCTTACTTGGTCGTCATCTGGCAGCTTGTCCTGTACGGTCGCCCAGCTGCCGCCGCCAAGGGTGGCAAGGTTGGCAACTTCTTTGCTGCTATCGGAGGCTTCACTCTCATCATCTGGACCGTCTACCCAATGTAAGTCTAACTCGTGCACCAAGATCTGGCAAGGGCTCAGCTAATTCTTCTCTAGCGTCTGGGGCATTGCTGACGGCAGCCGCAACCTGAACGTTGATGAGGAAATCATCGCGTACGCTGTTCTCGACATTCTGGCCAAGCCTGTGTTTGGAGCCTGGTTGTTGTTCACCCACGCTAGTGCACCAGAGACCAACGTCGATATTGGTGGCTTCTGGTCTCACGGCCTCTCCGGCGAGGGCCGCATCCGCGTTGGTGATGACGATGAGGGTGCTTAGATGCTTCCACGATCACGTCTCAACACTGCTTGATACTGCAGAAGGCGATCACAGCATATCGAGATCTGAGACAACAGTGCTGAGGGGAAAATACCCACGACAAAAAGAATGCAAAGCTTTCACGAAACGAGAAAAATGCTACGAGCATGATACGGTCGGCATTTCACCGGGTTTGCGGATTGATACCATTCAGGCGAAAGTCATGTGGTCGTGCAGCTCGACCAGAGCTGCTCGGCCTTTGTATCATACTAGTTAATGCATAATCTGGCGTCGGCGAGCTGCGGTCTCTCGTTGCTCTCTCACTCATGAACGCTTTTCCATGTAATCGTGCTATGTTCGCCTGTGCTGACACTGGCTGCTCGATCACGAGCTCGAATCACGGTTCAAACGGTGCATTCCTGCTAGGATTGGCGATCGCCATGCCGTCACCAACCGCTGCGGCTTCCATGCCAACGACGCTTGCGTTGCTCCCCGCATCAGAGCTCGACTCGCAGACGAGGATCGCATGGTTGATCGAGGGTCCTGGGCACGAGAGTCCCAGGAGAGCTGTTGCTTCGCGTAGGCCCAATCTGAGGCAAGGACGGGGTCGCGAAACAGGATTGCGTGTTTGAAACGTTTGTTGATCACGCAGGAGCCGCCAGAGCAGCCTTGCTTCCGAACACATAATCTGCCTGGACAAAACAATTCTCAACAACTACCACGAACCGAAACAAGAATCGACCTCCCAAAAGGCGCAACTGTGTAAACACAAATCGCATAACCAATATTTCAAGCTGCGAATCATGGCGACCGAGGTACCACCCGAGTCCGCTGCGGACGCTGGAGTCGACACCACACCTCTGGCTGTGAACGACGAACGCAGAAATAGTTTGGAGAAGCATTTGCAGCTTCGGCCAGAGGAGTCAGATCTCAAGAACAGGCATATCTTGCTGGACACCACTGCTGCGCCCGCCCTCCAAGCAAGAGCTGCTGAGCTCGAACGACAGAGGATTACCGACAACTTGAAGAAGGTACGTCTATGGATGCGACATCCGACAAAAGGAGGTGGTGTAGTATCGGAACGTATGCGCATACTCGCAAGTTCTTGGTACAAATCGCTGTGCATTCCCGCGCGACCATAGCGCTGGACAGGCACAGGGCCTCTCGAGTGCTGCAGCTGATGTCCTCGATCTCACAGGGTCTCTCTCACCGTCCCGAGAAAGATACGCTCATTCAGCGTAACATTCTTCCAGACTCCAACGCAGCACCCGGTATCCAGGGCCAACAGAAAGAGCTGGAGAAGCACATGCGCGCAGACAGTCTTGAGAAGCATCTGGCAGCTCGTCCCAATAAAGAGGAGCTGTTGAAAGAAGGCATCTTGAAGGGTGAGTCGCTGGATATTCGCGGTAATTACGCCAGCAAACACTGACTGATGATACCGAGCAGATGAGAAGCCCGCCTCAGACGCATGATGCAGGACTCTTTTCACGCACTCAGTTCGAAGACGCATGCGCTGCACGTGGAGACTGATTTATCTCCAGTGAACAGCAACGTTGCAGCATTAAACCAAACGGCAGTGGAAGAAGTTGTCGTGGGCGAACGGCGCAGAATGCTCTTTTGGGACAGAACACTACCAGTCCGCTGGGGAGTCATTGTCTGCAGAGACAACGGCAACAGCAGCAATGCAATAACAGAAGTAGAGCACGTTGGGCGTATATATATATCAATATGTGGGCAGTCCTGCGGGTCATCGTATTGCAAGATTGCCGTTCAACGTTCGTGGCTGCACGTGAGAATGGAGGCGATGATGGAACCAACAGGTATTCGCCGAGATGAGGCCATGAACCCCTCACAAAGTGTCCAGTTGGCTCATTAATGCCACCACGATCTCCATGTGGTCGTGCGCATCTGCACTCATCGTCGCTGTGCGAATGTGTCGTGCTGGGTGCTCTGAAATGCCGTGCTTTGACTCAAGAAGAGTCGTCGTCAAAAGGGTGGATAGCAGTTTGCAGCACGCGTTGTGCAGGGACTCACGTGCGGACTAGCTCTTAGTGTTAATCTATTATTAGGGCGAACCAGTCCCTTCAGCGCCGTCTGTCTTGTTTGGCGGGCTGGCACCCAGACTGCCCACACCTTCACGCTTCTGCGACCTGTCGTCGACCACGCTCTACCTTTCGAACTGTCACACATTTTCTTCTTATCCTCTCCGTGTCCCCATCCTTCCTTTCCCACCCGCACGACCGGGCCCCGCGCGCGCAAGCGACGACCGACGAAGAATCCGGCGTAGTCCTTTGTTGCGTGCCGGAAGAGAGAGACAGAGAGCGAGCCTCTGGACCACTGCAACAAGACCAGACATCACTACGGAGCGTCTACCTGCGAGGAAAATCGTATAACATACACCCCAGACTGGCATCGTGCGGCCTTGCGAGCTAGGACCATAGACAGTCTTGGTCTGTCCAGCTCTCGAGTACCTGTCTTGCCTGTCGAAGCACGACCTCGAGGCTCGACGAGCAAGACCACCGAGCAGTTTCCTACGAGGTCGTATCGAGCGTCCCCGCACCTCTGGACGTTGCGGGAACATTGCCGCCGCGTAGGTCTCCCCAATTCACCACGATGTCGTGATAGTCGCCCGGAGTTGGTTGCGTCGCAGCGCAGTGCAAGACTGCACGCCGTCAAGACCAGCTGGCGGAGACATCTCGCCCTTCTTCTACTACTCTTCTGTGTTGCTGTAAATTGCGAAAAGCGAGCTGGAGCTGATCGGTTGGTCAGGTATTTTTGGCAGCGCGGCTAAACGCACTCGACGCTCGACGTGCGATTCGATTGGTCGTTCTCGAGACGCCGTCCATCAAGCCGCTCAGCTTCCTTCAAGACTCGCCCACACCTCGCGAGGTGCATCTGCAAGTCAGACTTGTCCTTCTCGCACTCTCACTGGTCGCTTTCTCCTCTTCAATCCGCGCGCCAAAAATGTGGTGAGGAGACGTGCTGCTTATCCAACCTCACTTTCTCCTAGGATCGCCAGACGCTCTCTACCCATCTAATCTTGCACCGCTGTCTGTGCAGCATTTGCCGCCCGCGAGATCTGGAATCTCACCACTAATAGCCCTTCCTGGTGAAGGCACGTCGGTACGTGTACCCTCCGTTGCGCAATGCGAGCTTGTCTTTCACATGTCGCATGCCTGGTCACTGCGGCCATGGCGCATTCGCCTAGAGAAGGCTGCACTTCGCATGGCAAGCGCCATTGCCTTTGACATCGCATTTGGCATGCCTGCAAGCTCACAGCCGGCTCCTGCGCGCCTCAGTCTTCTCAAATCTTGGACGCTTGCTCTATCCTCCATGCTTCTCAGCAACGTGTGGACGTCCCGCCCCAGTCGCTGACATGTCTTCGCCCAGGTCCTTAATTGCCAATTGGCACCACGAAACTACATATTTTGATGCCCAGAAAGAAATCAGAAGACCCCATGGCCCTCATTTCTGGAAGCGAAGAAAAGTAAACGAGCGTTCTGTACTAAAGACGAACACCTCGACCTCAGATTCACACCGCAGTTCGTCGCCTGTCAAAGCAACATCCGAGATGTCGCACGCGGACGAGCAAACGAAGCAATTACCACACCCAGTGTCGTCAGACACACACAGTATCTACCAGCATTCACATGACTATGATGGCTTCATTAGGAAGTTTCATAATCACAACCTGAGTGACTCCACCAACATGACTGGTTCGAACGAGTCATCACCCACAACGACCATTTCGACCGTAGACGACTCCAGCGCCACAGAGCCCTCACCTGGTTCGTCACCTGAGTCGCCACCTCCGACCACCTTTACAGTAGGCATGCTGAGACCACGTACCGCCGACGAGCGGAGTGCGCCTTTCTTCGAGCTTCAGAAACAGCCACCACCAAGAAAGGGCCGCAATCTCAAGAATCTTGCTGTGGTCACGTCGAGACACCCGGCAAGAGCCGCATCTACGACCAGTTTGCCCTTACAAGCTCAGCCAGAGGCAGCGATTCTATCTCCATCCTTCGTCAAACCGCCAACGCCGCCTCGTCGAAAACCGAGCAATCTTGGTCTTACGTTGTTGACTCCCGGAGGAAGCAAGCCAGCACCAGTGCCTGCAACCCCTGGATTTGCGCGACCTGGCACTTTACGCCATTTCCAATCATCTCCGTCCCTACCTTTGGTACCGGGCCTTTCTTTGCCGCATGGCAGTAGCGCTGAATTCCGGAAACAGCGCACATTGGAGACGATATTGTCCCCCGTGGAGATTGTTACAGAGTCCCCTCCGATCCCGGAGCGAGAAGACGAAGATGAAGAGCAAAATTTCGATGTGCCCCTATCGCGCGAGGAGAAACCGGAAGCGTATCCGGACGGACCAATCTGTGTTTACGATCCTCACATTGATCTCTATCTGGAACCTACTGCCGAACAAGCGCGGCAGTACGATGTCGTCATGAATGTGGCCAGCGAAGTCCGGAACCCGCTGGTGAACAATGAGGACTCGACGTGCCCAGAACCCGATTTGCGCATAGATGGTGGGGGCGGAATTCAATTTAAGCCAAGGCAAGATCGAGATCATCTCGTTGTGCGGAAAACGAATCCTCAAGAGTCAAAGGACACCGATGCATCTCCAACCACGCCCAAGGCATCACCATCAAATGCATCATTCGCCGAAAGCGGAAGCGCTCCACAAGAGCCCGAATACATTCACGTGAAATGGGAACACAACAGTGACATTGTGCCTGATCTCTTGCGGTTGTGCAAGCTTATCGACGACAGAGTGACCGAGGGCAAGCGCGTGCTAATTCACTGCCAATGTGGAGTATCACGATCAGCAAGTCTGGTGGTCGCCTATGGCCTGTACAAAAACCCCTCCATGAGCGTTCAGGAAGCATACGATGCTGTCAAGCGAAGAAGCAAATGGATCGGACCAAACATGAATCTCATCATGCAGCTTCAGGAGTTTCGCTCCAGCCTTGCTCGTGGCGGCCTGCTGACAGCACGCAGCACACTGAGCCCACTCACACCAGGATCGGCGTTGAGTGAATGGAGTGGGCCATTCTCCTCACGGTCACCCGAACTCCTTGACGAACCTCGCTCTGCCGTCGACCGCTCTCCAACTCGTGGAGCTGGCGGCGCTGACGAAGCAGTCAGTCCTGGCCCTTCCTCTGCACCTTCAGGCTTCCCGTGGCCATTATCTGATAAGCCGGTTGCATCCAACGGAGGCCAGTTGAGCACTACTGCAGCCCATACGGGACCTTTCGTTGACCCTTCCGGCCATGTCGTACCCGTGATCGCCCTGTCAGATCCTGCAGCTGTCGAAACCGTTCCAGGTCAGCGACTGTCACGACATATCACGCTCCCTGCGCCTGCGCCCGTCCTGGCTCCGTTACCTCAAATCACCTCACCCAGGTCTACGGAATTTGCGATGGCGCCCATTCGCCCGTCAGAACAGGTTGACCCTGGGGACGACTTTGGAATCATGTCGCCGACATCTACGGAGTTCGTAGCAAATCCATTCGACAGATCCGCACTGCTAGCCAGCTTGGGCATGGGCACTATGCGCGCGGATGAGGAGACTCCCCGAAGATCGTTATCGTTGCGAAATCGCGACAATCGCCACTTGCCGCCTCCATCCAAGCCTGAGCGCACACTTCGAGGCAAGATCTCTTCGCCATCCTTACGCGAGCAGCAACGGCTGCGCGAGTTGCAGGCCCAGATTGAGGCCAACTTACATATTCGCGAGAACAGCCCCGCTGGCGTGGCACAAGAGGATTCAGATGCACTTATGTCTCCAAGAGCCACAAGCTTTACGGCAAATCCTTTTGCATTGGCTCTCGAAACCCCGGCTGCTAGCGCAGCCCACACGAATCCACCTAGGCTTACAGTGCAGGATCCTCGAAGCCCGTCACAGAAAGGGGCGAGTCCCATAACTCGCAACATACTTGATGTTTTATGAGCACATACAGGAAGTGTATTAGATTATCGCCGGAGGTCCCGCGAAATCATTACAGGGTTACGATTGGGGGTCTTTGATGTTTAAAGCATGGCGTTGCGAGGCTTGGAGAAACATCCGGTTGGAAATGGAAACAAACATGGGACGGCGTTCATGGAGGGCCGAACAGCTTGGCACAGCTGCGACGGAGTGTGGCAATTGCATCAATCGTGCATTTTCCAGGCTACGTACGACTATTGATGCCCGTTGATGTTTGGGAGGATTTGGCGAGAGGCGGGTCTTGCGAGACCTCGCTGGAGCAGCTTTTGTACAAGTACATATGCATGAATAGGACGCTCGGTGTGACGAGTGCCTACAATTTACGATACTGCCTTCACTGGTCTGTGAATTGACGATCTCGCTTGCTCTCCATTTCTCTTGAGGACGCGGACAGATAAAGAGGCAGTAAGCCCGCTACTCTGAGGACGACGCTCTGAACTGCTGCTGGCCTGAAATGAAAGGTGCCAACCTCAAGGCTCGACAATGTGTTTGCTACAGCCACGCTCGGAGTACGCGGATTCGGATTTGAGGATGATTATTGTACTGTGTGTTCCAGTATGTCAGCAGTCTGTTATGGATTCGAACACCATGGATATCCTAGAAAGGCCTTGCTTGTGATCGAATAGAAAGTAAAAAGCTTCGTCTTTCTTGCATCCACTTATAGACGTGCACCTCATTGAAAAGAGGGAACGCAATGCTTTTGAGAAATGCGAACATGCAAAAAAATAATCAAACTGACCTCTTAGCAGCACTGCATATCGATGACGGGCATTGTCGTCGCAGTGCATAGGTGAAATTCCCAATGTGCTTGAGTGGTCTCATGCCACTGAAAGGTCGCTGTTTGTATGTAGCCATGAACTCATGAAAACGCCAGACACCTTCGCTGACAATCGTGAAACTGGTTGCTGCCGCAAGGCGAGATGCTGAAATCAACCATCGACATCCATCTCTTCCGCAACTCCTCCTCGGACCAATTGTTGTTTCCGCTTCTGCTTGAGTGCACTCTTCTTCGGCGCCAAACGTGCTTGCTCCTCCAAAGCCATTTCCTCGTCCAGCTCCTCTTCCATAGTCTCCTCTTGGACCTGCTCTGGCAAAGTTTGCAGGGCCTGCTCGACTTGGTCGCGGTACTGCGCAGGCAACAAGTGCTGGTTCTCGGCAACGAGCTTGCGATCGGCTTCGAGCTGGCGTGCTTTGTTGCCCTTCATGCGGTCCTTGTAGAATTGGCGTTCCCGACGATCGCGGATTTCCTGCACGCGAGACATGGCCTGTAGCGTCTTCTGTACCAGATCGCGGTTGTAGCGGACGGGGATATTGCGGCGTTGGGCGAAATTTGCAAGAGTGCCATCGATGGGCATTTCTTTTCCGTGTGCGCTGCGGAAGGCTTTGGTCCAGGCGAGTTTGCGGGGATTACGCTTCATCTTGAACTATATTGAGGAAAAGAGTCAGCGGGCGTCAAAGGGATGAGGCGGTGAAGTGTGTATCAGCAACTTACGTTCTTGTGGCATTTCGAGCGGCAGAATTTGAAGACCTTCGCATCGTTGCGCACAAAAGTGATACCCTTGGATGGGTAGCACGGTTGCGAGCAGAAGTAGCACGTCTCGATCCTCATCGTGACGAGCGGACGGGGCGGAGTCTGGGCGGCGGGAGAAGTGGCGGAGAGGTGTGGTGGGCAGCAGAGAGCAACGACGAGAATTTCCAGCCATGGCCTCCACGACCCTTGATCGACGGACATGGTTCGGCTCGACTCGGGCCGGCGAAGACCTGACACCGAGAAGCATCTCCGTCCGCAAAGTAGACCATCCTCTCATCCTCGCCAGCACCGATTGTCGCCATCGCCGTCGCCTTGTCGCACCTGTCCTCGTCGCCGTCCTTACACGAATCTATCAGCATGGCCACCGTCCTTGCGGTGGGAGTGGGCGTTGCCGCCGCCGCATTTTTCGTACGTACCACTCAAGTCTTTGCACTGATGTAGCTAACAATTTCTTCGACACATAGGGTCGCGCAGGCCTCGTAGCATTACGGCGAGCACGCGGTGGCTCGAGTGCACTTGGGAAAGCTTTTTATAAAGGAGGGTTCGAAAAGCAGATGAATCGGAGAGAGGCGGCATTAATTCTTGGAACCTCGTACGCGATAGCACGATTGTTTCGGAGCTTGTTTGAACATTCAGACTAATCGTGGACGCAGTGAACGGGGTGTGAATAAAGAATTGATCAGGAAACGGCATCGATCGTTGATGCTTCTTAACCACCCCGATCGAGGAGGCAGTCCATACCTGGCAACGAAGATAAACGAGGCCAAAGAGTTCCTGGAGAAGGGGGCAAATTGATTCGAATAATCCGGAGTCCTTGCGAGGACGCATGAATTTTGAGGAAGCTCGACATGGACATGGTGATAGCAGTACCACCAGCTCGACAACGGACCTCGTTTCGAAACCACGAAAGGCCGCCGGACGCGACTCGAGAGCAGGCACGGCACTTCTCGAATAGCGGCAGCTAAGACGTTCGACCGCAAAGATGCCGACACGGCCACGGCGCTTCGACATGTCTTCAATAACGTTGCGCAATGGCGTGAGCTGGATCTGTCCTGAGTATAGGACCACACATCACCACTCTGAAAGAATGACAGTATCGCTGCATCGGCACGATTTAGGGGGAAAGAAGGCAGAGGACTGTAAGATAAAAGTCGGGATTGGTGGCAAGGGCAAGAGCATAACGACGACGATGTGGCCATGCCGAAGAGAACAGGAATAAAAGATCATCTTCCACTTCGGAAAACACGCCTTGGTTGCAGACCTCATAGATCGCCTGTTAGAAGATACTCAGTACTTCATGCTGGCTGATCAATCCATCTATGCACTCCATCTGTCCGCGATCACCTACGACGTCTGACGAGAGAGCTCTCCTATTCTTGTACCTCAAGCAAATGGCCTATGAGTTGCGCTTTTCCATGCGCCACTTGATGAAGTAGCTGACATCGATGGCGACTGCGTTGGCTGCAAGGGTTCAGCAATGCTATTCGGTCGATCTCAGGTCTGTGCTTGACTCACCCATCTGCGTTTTCTGCACTGCCATTGGCAAGACACCCTTTGCGTCACTGGCCGTGCCCATGGACCAGGTGATCTGACCATCGTGTAGCTCGCCGAGTTCTACGCTACAATAGATCGCATCCACGGCTTGTTGTCCGGCCTGCGATACGGTCTCTGGGATGGCGTTGCGCGCCACGGGAATTTGCACGACTATGAATTTGTCCTGGTCCTGCGCTCGAGCTGTGACAACGAGCACTCTGAACTCTCTGTCTTTCAAGAAGAAAACAGGCATCTTGTGGCGCATCAGTCGGATCTCCATCGTGATGTCCTGCCAGTTGCCCGCAGTAGCTCCAAAGGCTTGCAGATCTTGCTCCCAGGAGTACTCCTTGTGGGCAGAGACTACGGACGGCGTGTACTCCTTTTCGTAGTTGCTGTGGTTGGCTCGTAGGTGGCCATCGAATTCTGCCCAAGTGGCAGTGCCGTCCTTGGAGGCATCTTCGTGAATGCTGGTTCGGGCATACCAGTTCTCTGTCGGCTGGTGCGGAATTACAGCAGAACGTATCTGAATTGATGCGGTCGCTGGGGATTGGTGCTTGACGTCCCCGAGCTTGAATACATTTTGATCGTGCAGGGTTGTGGTCAGGAATCCGTCACCTTCCGCGAGCACTTCTGTCAGGAAAGTTTGTAGGTTCGGAAGCGTGCCGCCAGCTTGATCAGATGGGATGTTCTTGTGAGACGGTAGATCGATCGCCTGGAGTGGCTTCAGATGAATTCTGGTTTGTGTTGCCATGGCGTTCGGTGATGGTGAGATGTGCTGGGCGACTTGAACAAGCTTTGCTGCGGCTTTGGTGTACCCGCGAAGCTGGAATTGTTCCGTAGCTCAGTACGATTGTTGTATCATGCAAATTGCTCATGCACTGGTATTGGCTGTACAGTACTCGTGATCACAAACTGTAGGAATCGCAGTTGCACGTTGCACGTTGAATCGGCGTCGCGTCTCAACGCGTCATTCGCAGATCTCAGAAAGTCCAAGCTTCGCGAAGCAGTGGCAGGAACAAGGACGAACGGATCGTGCCTCCGCTTCATGCACTTGCTCGCGGCGCCCAACGACACTGCTTCGGAGGAAATGCCGTTCTTGTATCTTTCACGAAACATCCCAAGAACCCATCGCAACCCTCACCGCTGAATACCATGGCCTCTACCGTTGTCCAAATTGCGGACCGAGCGAAACATGATCAGGTCGTGGAAGAGTCGCACCGGACACCTACCATTATCCACGTCTCTAATTCTTCTTTGCCTACTTGTCGGGAGTTTAGTCCGAGATATGAAAAGCTGGCTCAGAAGCATGCAAGCAGTGGTATAGCGTTCGCCGAAATGGACTTCAACGCAGCGACAAGCTACTTGTTCAAATTCTCACCAAATCAGCTGCCTGTCACGGTGGCTATGTTCGGAGACCGCTGGGCAAAGACTGTCATGGGCGCAGATATGAAAGGGATCGAGGAGTCTATCGAACTGCTGCGAGGCGAGGCGAAACGGGATGTCTAAGAGATACTGTGGCTGCCAGCAGATCCGCCATGCAGCTTCCAGCGTTCTTCGAGTTCAAGTCTGTCCGTGTCAAGACCTGCGCGGCAAGGGAGCGTTGCAAGCATTATGATTCATGACATGAGGTTCGGTCTTTACGAGAGTGCGATGAAGCAATATAACCGAACATGTGAACTCTGTACGACGAACAGTACCAAGAGAGCAGCATTGACCATGTTTGTCCAGCAAACTTCGCATTCGCGCAGCGTCTTCGAATGCTTCAGGCACCGCAGGCACCTTCAGTATACAGTCTATGATACAGTCTCGAATTGCGGTCATAGCATGTTCGACCGTATCCGACCAGTTTCTTGTCGGGTGTTGCTTCTTGGTCTTGATATTGTTGTCACCAGATGCCTCTACGCTTTCCTGTCCAGCAGAGGCGGTTTGAGCAAAGTCTGACGGCACAAGAGAAAATATGATGCACATTCGAGCTTCGCAACTTGAACCACTGGTTCTCTTCTGATGGGTCGTGATTATTGTCGTACAAATGCTGTATATATGAAGCTGACGGCAAACCGGCAGAGTGGCGTGGAATCTCGCGCTTCGGACTTTGACGAAAGACGCGAGGGTCAGCCGCCTCTGAGGATGGCGCGTCATTGCCCACAGGAAGGCGCCTCATCACGCCGGAGAGTACATTTTCGACTTGCGCGATGGTTCCATCTCGCATCTTGCTAGACTTTCATCAACTGTGCATCAACCGTGCAACACAAACCTAGTGTCCTTCTTGGCGACTAGGCATTGCTGACAGCATGCAGGCCCATGCGCCAAGAAGTGGCATGACCAACGACGAACAACAGGGGGCCTTCGATGAGAAGACAGGATCCCTGGACAACAGATCTGATGAGGATACTGCAAGGAGCACACCTGAAACACAAGAAACCCTTCCCAATGGATCTGCGACACCTTCCGCTGCCATACCTGGGCCTCCAAATGGCGGTACTCAAGCGTGGATACAAGTGCTTTGCAGTTTCTTGTTATTCTTCAACACTTGGGGAATCCTAAACACGTTCGGAGTATATCAGACCTGGTACGAGGGCGGGCAATTATTTCAGGAAAGCTCAAGTAATATATCATGGATCGGATCCATTCAGGCTGTAATGGTGAGTGTGCAAACCTTCAAAAGGCATCTTCACCAGCAGCTGCTGACACTAAAATGTCTTGTAGGTCCTAATGGTCGGCGCATTCGTCGGACCGATATATGATCGAGGCCATCTTAGAGCTCTTCTCCTCGGTGGCTCTTTCATGATTGTGTTTGGACACATGATGTTGAGTCTCTGTAAAGAATACTGGCAAGTGCTCTTGGCTCAAGGCTTCGTTGTGGGCATCGGGGGCGGGTGCTTGTACGTGCCTTCAATAGCCATTCTGCCCACTTACTTCACCAGCCGAATTGGGCTCGCCATTGGGCTGGCGGCCAGTGGAAGTTCCATGGGAGGTGTGTTTCATCTACACTAAGATAGACACCGAGAACTGACAACTTTTAGGTATCATATACCCTATCATGTTTTACCGCATGATTAATCACGAAGATCTTGGATTTGGATGGTCCGTTCGCATTCTTGGGTTTACAGCTTTGGCGACACTGATCGTTCCAATCTCTCTGATGCGACAAAGAGTGAAGCCGGACAAGCCGAGATCTTTGATCGATTGGACTGCCTTTAGGGACGTACCGTTCGTGATATTCGTGATCGGGTGCACAATCGGCTTCATTGGTCTTTACGTAAGTGTACAATCTCTGTACTTGCCAGTGACGGGCCTCTGACATCCGTGACAGGTTGGATTCTTCTACATCAGCTTTTATGGCAACCAGCGTGGGTATACAAGTGAGAGCCTGTCATTTTACTTGGTGGCTATCCTCAACGCGGGATCAGTCTTTGGGCGAACCCTTCCGAACATCCTCTCCGACCGTATTGGTCCTGCAAATGTCATCGCACCAGGTAAATCGATCAATTGCTATCGCTATTAACGAAATCTTGGAATATTGGCTAATGTAGATCAGGAGCTTTGTGCGTGGCAATTGTCCTCTTCTGCCTCATAGCTGTGCACAATGCAGCGGGAATGATTGTCGTGGCCCTCTTCTTCGGCTTCTTTTCAGGGATATTCATCGCTCTTCCTCCAGTGCTGTTCGTTGCGCTTACGAAGGATAAGAGCAAGGTTGGAACACGCATTGGAATGGGTAAGTTGCGTGTCCGTTCGGTACAAGACAGGACACTTCATTGACATCGTTGCAGGTTTTGCCACAGTCGGCTTGGGTGTGCTCGCCGGTGGACCTGGCGGCGGCGGCATTTTGGGCACCAGCGGCTCTGGTGCTGCACTTGCAGATGAGCAACTCAATTGGAATGGGACTTGGATCTATGCTGGAGTTACTGTACTCGGCGCCAGTGCGATATTTGCGGCAGTAAGGGTGATGAGAGGAGGAACCAAGATCTTGGTGAAAGTGTAGGAATATCGACAGATATAGAGCATACAGATAATACCGTGCTATCCGCAGTAGATTCAAGCAAATCAGCTCATGCATTGACTTTCGATCGTTTGATGGCAGCTCACGTTGCACATCGATGGTATTCGAAGGCAAGCTCCACTTCGCACATGACCGCTCGGTGCCCTTACTTCTCCCCAGCAGCAAACACTTATCCAAGCTTCACTTGATACATATTGGGATTCACATGCAGTCTCGTGCCTTCTTTCGTGGGTCTCAAATTGTTGATCAACCACTCTCACATGCTTGAAACCAGAAAGGGTACTCTCCATCATCTTGTCAAATCCTCGTCGCCAGAACCAGAACACTACACGCACAGTCTTATCAACGCATCAACCCGGGGCCTACTAGCCTGCAGTGTCGCCGCACAAATGGCACAAAACCTGAAGCGCATGTTCTTCGCCCTCGACCGCGCCATGCTCGAGGCGCATAGAGAGGACAGAGACGAATATGCCGAGGATACTGCCCGTGTGCTGCTTGGGTACCCCGAATTGCCACTTCTGATCAGAGCTCGTGCCTGTAAGTTGAGAAATGTAGAGACGCATTTCGTTTCGCATCTCCACCATGCTGACCCCATAATTTTGAGGCATGGTCCTTGGCTGCTCTGGAGTTGCAGATGATGCTCTTGACATGGCGAAGGAAGCAGTTCGCATTGCCGAGTTGGGTGTGAGCCTCTTGGAGAACCCTGACAAGATTGCAAGGCAGTTGCTTGCAGATTCTCGTACCGTTCTCAGCGAGGTGCAAGCAGCGCATGCTCAGAGAGCTGTGACAGAAGGCGAGCTGGAGGAAGATTCAGGCGAACTTTTTCGAGGCACGAAATCTGAGGAAGCCACGCAAGAAGGCGCAGAGGAGAATGTTGCGAGGGGCACATAGGCGAAAAGGGATCATTCGGATTGGGCAAGATGCCCGTTAAAGTGTCCTGCAGTCCCGTCGACCCAACGTACATAGCCGGACTGCATAGTGCCAACCATGAAGCAGACATCGTATCCTTGGGGCGCAGCAGAAGATACCTGATGACGTGAAATCATTGCAGCATGCAATGAATACCCTCTATCGAATGCCTCTCACGTTATCGCTCAAGTTCTCAAGAATGTGCTCGACTTCCTCGTCCATGCTTTCGAGAATATGCGCTGGGGCAAATTTCGGCTTCCATCCGGTCGTCTCACCACGACGAGGCGTGTAGGTACAGCTAAAATAGAACACATGTGAGTGGTATACGATGATCAAATGAAGCGGTTGACTCACTTGCCGGAAATCTTACTCAATGCGGAAGATTTGTTGTCTACACCAAGTGCGGTGACTATGCGATCAATGGCTCCTTGATCGATGGGGCGCAGCTTTTCATCAGCGATGACACCCTTCGCAAAGAGAGCGGAGGCAATGGCGGCATAAATTTTCTCCCAGGCAACTGGTCCAGTAGAGGCCAGATAATAGCCATTCTTTCCATGTGGAGGATCCTCTCCGTTGAGTATCTTGGTCAGAATATGCGAATATAGGGACACTGTGTCAGAAATATGACAAACAGGCCAGATCTGGAAGTCATTAGTTTAATTTCTGATGCTCCAGGATAATGCACAAACCGCTTGATCGTCCGCCACATTGTAAGCGTATCCACACGCCTTGAATGCCATAACTATATCCACAGTTTGGATAGAAATGCGATTTCCGAATCCCGTGCCTTTCCCATCTAGTACACAGTTAGTTGATTGCGTTTGGCATCATTCCAGGTTGCGGTACAATCTTACAAACTACACATGGGGAGAAGAGGTATACTCTGACACCACGCTTCTCGCCCTCGTCCACGACCGCACAATTGGTTTTTACAGCCTTCCAAAGTGAACGCTTAGTACGCGAATCAGAAGTGATGAATTGGGCAAAGGCTGCTTACCGTGCTAAGCTCTTCGTTGGAAGATTCTTGACGTTTTTGTATGTCATACAAATCAGGATCGGTGTCATATATAGGTCTGTCGGTTGGACAACCTGCAACGTCTGCGAACATCTTCGTTCCGGTGGTCTGACAGCCTTAAATCAGTAGTGAACAATGCAGGTTGAAATTATGATCTCAACATACGTAGAGGAAATGCGTGATCTTTCCAGTAGCTTTGTGGACCGTTTCTAGAGCTTTGAGGATGGACTTCTGGCTCTGAAAATAGTACGCACCCACGAGGAAGTAAACGACAGATATTTCGTGCTTGACGATTGCATCGATTACGGCTTGATCGTCCTCCAGAGAGAAGGAGAGCCGCTTCGCGCCATATTGTGTAACCTTCTCGCCTTGTGCCTCGTTTCGAACGAGAGCATAGATATTGCCGCGATATGGGAAGTTTGTTTCTTGCCAAGAGTTCAGAAGTGAGCCACCTAGATAACCAGAGGCTCCCGTGAGGAGAATGTTGTGAGGCATGGCTGGTATGATTTCTGTCTCTTGGAAGATGCTAGATTTGATTGATATTTAAGTAGTAGTACAATCATACGAGGAGACCAAGGGTGACAGATGATTCCTTGACTAAGTGAAGGGTAGATTTGTAAGTTGGAGAACGAGCAAGTGATGTCAGTGGGGTAGAGGCTCAAGTCAATGTATACGTTGGGGTAACTCTTGCTACAGTGTAGAGGCTCAGTTTGGACTTCGTTGGGGTACCGATGGTTGTTGTCATGTCGCAGAGGCTCGGGCCTTGCCAGCGAATAGAGTGAATCTTGCTAAAGCATCACAGCGGTGCCATCCGATGACTTCGCAGAGCCGCAGTCAAATGAGTTTTTCTGCTCCGCTGATATCTATGAGCGATGGTGTAGCATTGCACTCTGGGTGTACAGGACAGAGTGTACGATGTTTGTGCGCGTGTGTCGAAATAGAGTAGACGGTGCAGCGTGAAGTCGGCGTTCGCGGGCGATGACGGAGAAGCAGAAGCAGCTCGGACATGGAGCTTCTTTCACGCGGCCCAGCCAACATTTGCGCGCCAGCCCAACTACAGACTCTCGCTCCCTCACCGTCGCATAGCAGCAGCACGCCCATCATGCTGCGCGTAGCTGTGTCCCGAGGCGGCGCAGGCGTGCGCGCTGCTGCGACTCGCCAATGGCAGCCGCAGCGGGTGCAGCACCTGTGGTCGGTACGCCGCGCTCTCATCAATGCCTCTCTTGCACATGAACGAACTGACACCCATCCTTAGACCTCCCAGCGTGCCCAAGCCGCCGCTCCGCCCACCCCCGATAAGGTCGTCCTACCCGGTACCCAGAGCGGTGCTGCCGCGGGAGTCCCTCAACCTCCTGTGCTTCAGCCATCGACGCCGAGCAGTACAACTCCCATCACGCCCGAGCAGTCGCCGCGAGTCCCTCCGTCGCCCGCCGATGTCAATGCCTTGCCGCCTGCATCCTCGAAGACTGGCGGGGC